GGAAATCCACCTTGGTCTCCCACATGGATAACAGGGGTGCAAACACTTGGGCCGTTTTTCACTACCTTCTTTGCTTTAGCAGAAGACTGTATGGGAAGCAGTGGAGCCAGGACTTGAACCAAGGATTCTGATATGTAATACAGAGGTTCCAAGAGGTGACTTGATCCAACAATCCAAACCCTAGTTTCGAATGTTAGAAATTTTTGACTGTATTTATCTATTTATTTGATCTTGAAACATTGAATGTCACCAAAATATCAGAGAATTGCAGAAGTGAGAGGGTTGAAAGCTTGTTTCAAGTTCTAAGCTAAATAATAAGCAAAATTTGTAAGCATTATGTCTCATCTGTTTGATCATCATAATACTGAAACTGATGGGTACTTACCACATTTTCTCCTTGTTTTGAATAATAGAGAACATAGGAGAGTCTTTCATAGTAGCATAATAGTGAGCTTATCTGGGTATTTTCCCAAGGCAGTGCTGTGGACTGAATGTGAACTCCAAAATTCACATCTAATTCTTGGATGTGAGATTCTTTGGGAGGTAATTAGGTCATAAGGGTGGAGGCCTAATGAACTGGATTAGTGCCCTTAGAAGAACAGACAAGTGCACTCTCTCTCTCTCTCTTTCTCTCTCCCCCTCTCACCCTCACCGTCTCTCTCTTTGTGTCTCTCTGTCATTTGAGGATATTATAACAAGAAGGACTCCATCAGTAAACCAGAAGTCAGCCCCTCACTAGGAACCAAACTTGTTGGCAAATTGATCTTGGATTTTTCTGTCTCCAGACTGTGAAAAATAAATGTTTGCTGTTTAAACCCCAAGTCTGTGGTATTTTTTATAGCGGTGTGACATGACTTAAGACCAGCAGTTTAAGATTTATCTGTGCTTGTGGCCAAGAGGGATAGGATGTGTGTGCGTTAGTGGAGGAAAAGAAGAAATGTAAGAGAGAATTAAATTATGTGGCAATTATGACTTGTATGTAGTAGGTAGGTGGTAAATTGTGCATTTATAAAGTCTTAAATTTGGGATGTAACCATCCCTTTTCAAATGAGGAAAGGGGCACAGGTATATGAAGTGAGTTGCTCATGATCACAAGGTAACTTAGAATTATGGTAAGATGATGATGGACAGGAGATAAAATTAGAATTCTGTATTTATTTTTGAATTTTCTGGAGAAGGTAATTGATTTATGATACAGCTTCATTTTCTTTTCTTACTTGATATTTGTTCCAAATTTATATTAATGGCCCATGGCAGAATATCTTAAGCTCCAAGCACTAATCTGACTTTTAGGGAGGTCTTAGACACAATAAGAAGATTGAAGTGAACTCTGACTTTGGGACAAACTTAGGAATCTAAGTCAACCATGAACTCTGATTTCAATGCGTTCCTTCTCTTCACCAGCGGCATTCTGTCATCATTAGGCCAAGACTGTCCTTCAATTATATTAGTAATGGAAGAAATGAAGTGCTGAAAGAGATGTGGGAAAGCAACACAGAACAAAGATATTTCTGTTTGTGGCAATGGCTTCAATCAAGAGATAAAATGAGAGACTGGGAAGGGGAACTGAACAATATAGGGTATGTCAAGAAATATTCCTCAAGGTGCATGATGACTTACATGATCTCAGTCAAGTTGGAGACGTTCTTCCCCCATTTCATACTGTTCTGCTTTCTGGTAACAAAAATGAAAACTGAGCCACCTTGGGAAAAAGGGGGTTATGACCAAATAAGTCACAGAGCATGAATACTCTGAACACACATCTGGGCTTTTTCTCTTTTCAAATGGCAGCTTCATTCATTTTCAGTACAGCTTGGTATATGTCTGGGACTTAGGGCACAGGATAAGCATATCCAGATTCTGACAGGTCAGAGAACAACTTGGAGTCTTTTGTGGGGTTTTGTCTCCTTTACTCAGAGTGGCGGTGAGAAATGTACAAGCAGCAGCCAGTTGTCCCTGACTGTAGGGGGAGCGGGGCACAAGAGATATCTGCCTTTCTGTCTATGGCGCCAGTCGGATATACACACAGGGACATCTTTATATATCCACACATCCACCTAAAGTCACACATCTACCAGTAGTCACATATGTGTCCACATACATCCACAAGCATTTGCACATGACCATGCCCCCCACCCCTGTTGCTTATATAGGTTAACAGACAATAGTGCAAAAAAAACATACAATAGGCCTACTCTGGAATCTCAGAACTCAAAAATTACCAGTGGAAGACTGAATATAAACTTTTCTTTCTCATGTGCAAAAATCCCAGGGAAGGATTCAGTGGGAGTGATTATGTTTCATCCAGTTAATAGTGATTAAAGCATTTTGATCTAATATTGTAGTTGGAGTAATCCAACTTACAGCCAAGGGGTAGAGGTTGTTATAACATGGAAGCAGATCAATTTTAAAATGTAGAACTGAGGGAAGGGCACTTCTTAGAAAAGGCGTGGGTCAGCAGATAATTCACGATGATATGCTAAATAATATATGGGGCTGGTCAGTTTTTTTCAGGTTGCAAGTAACAGTAATACATTTTAATTAACTACTAAAGATGTCTTATAAAGTACACAGGAAAGTGAAAAATACAGAGATCTAGCTCTGCCTCTGGGAGTCCAGTTAGAATCTCTTTCCCACATAAGGTAGAAAATGTTCCCTACTCTGATGTTCCTTTCTTATGATGACTCAGTTGACATGGAAAGCAAATGAGAGTCGACATAGAAAGAGCAAATTCTTGACTCTGTCTCCTGACTTCTGTTTTCTCAATCTGCTGGCTTGTTTACACAGGGTACCACCTTACTCTCTACAGCTCAAGGTCTTCTATCTAAATTATGTGAGCTCGATTCTGATTGGTAGACAATCACAATGAAATACAGGATGCTTCTGTGGATTAGAATTCTGGTGTTAGTTCATTTTAGAGTCTGCTGCTCAGCTACCCACGTTTGGCCAGATACCAATCATTATTTTAGTAAGAGCCAGGAAAATGGGCATCAAGGCAGAATGAGTATTAGAAGAAATTTGTGGGTGTGTTGAGTAATTTAATTAGTAGACACTATGTATGGCTGTCTAGTACCCACAACTATAACGCGGGGTGTTTTCTTAAACCAATGAATATTAATTGAAAAATTATTTTCCCAAGAATTTTTCTAGAAGCAATGAGTGAGAGCAGTGTATATATGAGAATTTCCACTAGAGAAGAGCTATAGAATTGGTGTTTGAGTAAAAGCTGTAACAATGTACACAAATAAAAAAAATCCAGGCCATTTATTTTTATTTCTTCATTTCTTGAGACATAATTAGAAATAAGAAGTCATATTTTTAAAAATATATATATAGAGATACTTTTCCAAAATCAAGAAATTTCTTATTTATGGTTTTGTCGCTTAAATTGTTATTCTAGGGACACAATGGAAATTTTAAGGAGTAGTGTTTATGAGAGATGTCTGGAGAGGGCCCAAGAGTCATCATGAGGAACTGAAGAGGACTTAAGGAAAAGTGTATGGGAAGGCATTGAATGAAAGAAAACAGAGAGGGAGGTTGATAAAAATAGGAGTAAAGATAACCCCCAAAGGGCCATGTACACAGTTCTGCACAATCAGTTCCATTCTGGTTAGTCGCCATCATCTGCTCTAGGCTTGGTTTCTCCCTGCCCTAGGCTGCTTTTGGGTAAAAAAGCAGGCTCAGCTTGTTTTGTCTCTTTGCTGGGCCTAGGAAAGAGAGAGAAGCTTTTTTTTTTTTTTTTTTTTTTTTTGTGAGCGTAGAAAAGAGAAAGAAACTCCAGGCTTCTGCTCTTCCTATCTGTTCCAGGGAGATTCTTAAGGGACAGGGCTAGAGATAAAAGATGTGGGAGAGAAAAGGGAAGGTCCCAGTTGATGACAGAAGATACAGGGTGGTTTGATTTTTAAGTTCCCAGGTACTTTTTATTTATATATTTCCTATTTGTAGAGAAACCAAAAAAGGAAAATGATTAGTACGTAGTATGCCTGCGCAAATAGCAAACCCATAACCTACTAACCCCAGGAGATTTTGGCTCCTGTCCTGGGTAGTTTCAGAGCTGTAAGAGGTATGGGGTATGTACGTGGAGAGTCTCCAATTCCAGGATATAGTAATTAGATTCAGAAACCTCTCAGAGAATCCCAAAGCTACCAGTGACCTGGGGATTAGGGAGCCTAACTGGCAGAGAACACGGAAGTGTCTCCAGCTGCGTCTACTACTAGAATAAACCTCATCATTTGAGGTCCATTACATTCTGACATGGCCGCCTTAAATTCTTTCAGACCCAACAGTTCAGGCTTGGAACGTTTTTGAGCCCTTTAAAAGCAAATTAGCAGTTGGGCTAGAATGTGCCTAGAGAGAATGAACCCCAGACAAGTGGTCCAGAGAAAAGGCAGCATGGCCCATGAGAATCTGAAAGTCAATGATGTGGTTCTGCCAATGCAGATTTTTAGTTTGGTTCAGAGTCTTCCCGTTTGGCCGGGTGTAACTGGGGAAGGGGGATGATTACCGCGGAGGACGACCTGGTGTGCTGGGGCTACCAGTTACCGAACTCTCCTGTAAATTACCTTCTAAGCGTGGAGCATGACTGTTTTTTTTTTTTTTGGGGGGGGGAGGGTTTGCACATCCTTTTACTGAAGAAAGTTCTGTCTGTGGATGAGCACTGTGGGGCAATGGAGAAAAAAAAAATCTGTCCTCTAAGCATCCTAACGGTGGTCTGTCCCCTCGCGGGCCAGCTGTCCCGTCCTCCGCCGGGGCGGGAAGGAGAGTGTTTCGGTCCACGGATTCGGGTGAGCCCTTTAAATCCAGCCTCCCCGCCCCCACCTCCCCGTTGCCTCTCTCTGACAGGTGTTTTCCCAACTCTGGAGGCTGAGGATTTTGGGGAGTGGCTGAGCCAATAAGATCTCCCTTTTTGGGGGGGGGGAAGGGCGTGGCCAGCTGGGTCAGAGCAGGGGCGGGGTTTGTGCCGCTGAGCCGAGCTTGCCTGGTTGCGTGGAGGGTTGTTTTATCCCCCCCCCCCCACCGTCCCCACCGCCCCCCACCTTTTTTTTATTTATTTCGGAGTCTTATTAATTTCTCTGTGGGGCTGCAGCTGGAGACCGCGGAGCGTTGGAAATGACGCTCGGAGCTTTAATTACCGCAGCCGCTGGACAAGTGTGAGGAAAGCTGACAGGAACAAGGACAGGATCGGGGGAGACGCCAGCAGCTCCCCCCGCCTCCCGATTTGGACTGGAGGTGCAAGGAAACTGAAAAGGGAGCCGAACATAGCCCGGCTTGGGGGGGGAGAGGCCGGAAACCTACCGCCTCTTTGCAATCAACTTTTTTTGGAAACCTTTCTCTCCCCTTCCTTTTTATTGTTGACCAACCAGTGAGAGAGAGAAAGTGAAGAGAGAGCGAGAGCGCGAAGCTCCCACGGGGAAAATAGCTGCACAGTCCGCCCGGAGCAGCCCGCGCCACCCGGGAGCGCTCCCCGGCGCGCTCCGCGACGCCCACTCCTCTACGGCCGGCCCGGCCCTGGGCCCGCGGGCGCGGACTCGGTCGCCCGCGCTGGGGAGCCGCTGGACCGCGCGCGCCGCGCCCGCCCCCTCGCGCCCCCACTCGCGTCGGACTGGGGGAATCTCCTCCGCGTGCCCGAAAGGGGCTATGCCAGTTGGACATGTAATTGTCAGCACGGGACCTGAGACTTCCAAAAAATGAAGCTGGCGACAGGACTGTGGGTCTGGGTGAGCCTTCTCGTGGCGGCGGGGACCGTCCAGCCCGGCGCTTCTCAGTCAGGTGGGTCGCGCTCCTTCTCGCGCTCCAGCAGTTGAACCTGTCGCCGCCGCCGCCGCCGGCTAGGCTGCCTCGGTGGCTCCCCTGCCGTCTTTGCCCACCCCGACCCCGGCTCGCCCCCAGGCGCGGAGGGACCCCTGGACTGGGGCCTCTGGCACCGGCTCCCGGTCACCCCTTTCTTTCTCCATCCTAAACTTACCCTGTGTGTATGTGCGCGGGCGCGCAAGTGTTTTATTTATCGTGAAAAATTACTCTGCACCCCATGACCCTTTCCCCCCCTCTCTCCTTAAGCCACCTTCTTTCTCCCTCGCGTGTTTTCCCTGTGCCTAAGCGGGCTCGCTGCTAGTCGCGCCTGTTGTTCGGACGCGGGAGACCCAGACCCTCAGCCAGAGGAGCCCTCCGGTCTCGGACTCTGTGCCCTCAAGGCAACAAGCCGCAAAGGAAGGCGCACCGCAGGAGCCTGGGCAGGGCTGGGGTCCCGGGGTGGTGCTGGCCGGGCTGCTCCGCAGCCCGCGGGCTGTGGAGCGTGCAGCTCCGAGAACCAGGCTGTGCACCTGTGTGTGCTCCCTGTGGCCGCTGCGCCCCCAGTCGCCCGAGGTTTGCGGGGTCAGGCACGACTGGAGCCCAGCCTGGGCAGCCTGGAGAGCGCGGCGGGCGGGCGTGCCTCGGCCCGGGCCTGGAACTGCCAGCCTCCTCGGCTGGCGTCCCGGAGTCCCTCGCCCCATTGACTCGAGGGGTGCTTGCTTGCATGCCTGTCCTATTAAAAAAAATTAAAAGAGGCTTGGCACGTTGAGCTAGGAGCCCGGCCTTCCCGTCGGTGGCTGTGTTTGGCTCCGGGAGGAGTTCTTCCTGTAGTTCAACTTGCTATTGGCCGGACTCCCTCCAACTTCTCTGTTTACTGCCCGGCCGGGCTGCGGAGCCTGCCGGTCGCGCGAATTGATTTAACCCGAGGCGGGCGCGGCGGCTGCGCTCCCGGGCGCGGTCAGTGTTTGCTGGAGAGCTTGAGCCCCAGGTACCTGGACAGGCAAAGGGCTAATTGACCCCGAGGGGCCGCGCAGGGGGCTGGCGCGCCGCAGCGGGCAGGGCTAATGACAGCAGCACCTGCAGGGACAGGGGAGCTCTAAGTTTCCAACACTGGGAGTTTCCTGGGGATGACCTGGGGACTGGAAAGGAATGAGGAGAACCGGTGTCTGACGCGGCCAAGGTGGGGGGTGGTGGTGGTGGTGGCCTCTGGAGAGCCCGGGGGAGATTTCCGGAGCCGTTTGGGGTTGCTGGCGAGAGCGTGGGAGGCAGCTTGAGGAGATAAAGCCCCTGGGAGTGGCGATAGGGCGAGCTTTAGGCCTCCGGAGGGTGTCCTCCTGACCTCGCCAAGAGAACGGCGGCTCGCGGTAGTTTCCCCGCTCCGCCCCCGCCTCCCCCTCGCTGCCTAGTAAATAACAAGTTCCAATCATGGAGCCTTTCAGAATGACCTTCGCCTGGCACATGTGCGCCGTTTGCACCCTCCCAATTACTCCGAAATTCTTCATGCATACCAGGTCCCGCGCTCCAGCCACCTCGGGAATTGCACCGTCTCGAGATTCCAAGCGGCCTCTTAGATACATCCCTTTTTATCTGCCTCCCCACTCCCAGTCCCTTCATATTTTCCCTCAATGGGTTGATTATGCACATTGACCCATTCAAAAACAGTTGCGACCGACAGGCAGGCTGAGGCGGGAGGAATTTCTAGGAGGCGACCTACTGGGGGCTGTCTGGTTCAGCCTCTGCCGCTGGAGGACCCGCTCCCGGTACGCAGCAATTTGGTATTAACTGTGCGGCGCGGGGCTGAGCTATTCCGAAAAGCCCTTTTCAGAATTTCTGCAAGGAATGTAATCCAAATTAGTTCTGCAGCTGTCCTCTTCCTCGTCTCAGGCGACACCAGCTCTTGCCCTCGCTCGTCTCTTCTCCTTTCCCTGGGCGAATTGTCAGACCCACAAGTGAGCCCATTTAGAGCGCGAGGATTAGCGTGCCATTGTTGTTCCGAGTGTGACTCTGTACTTGAAATTCTGGGGGCACAAAGGAGAGCCTCACTTGTTCAGAACACAAAGTGATCCAGATGAAAGGGCCGCACAAAGAAAAGCTCTTGGGTGCATCCCTGGTATAATTGCAACACTCATACTAAGGTGACCCACTGGAAACTGCAAACTCCCCTGGGGACTCCCCCCCCCCCCTTTTGCCCCACCGCACCTGACAGGAAAAGTTCAGCTGGTTTGAATGCAGCGTTATTGTGAAAACAAGTGACTGGGTGTGAGTGAGGCTGTGTGTTTGTGGCTATGCATGTGTGTGGTTACGTGTTCTCAAGTAAATACGTATTGCGCGCCTCTCCTCTCTCGCGGTTAGCAGTCAGTAGCAGTTTGGAAGAGTTTGTTTTGGTCCAAATGAGAAATTAAGTGCGGATAAGTAAACTAAGCTGCCAGAGGGCGACAAGATGTTGAGTGAATTGCTTTTAGATGAAACAAATTAAGGAAACGAGGGAAGACAATCTGCTTCTCGCATTATTAGACACGCTTGGAGTTCAGGGGAAAGTGGCATATTTTGAAATGCTAATTTCTTAAGAAGCAGAAGGAATGCACCTTATTTACTGCTCTATGTGAACAGAATAAAAATATAGGGTGAAGGATTCTGGTGAATAGATCTTTAAGATATTTCTTAAAAATATTTATAATGTAAGGAGACCTGTTTTGTTCCCTCTTGAAAAAAAATCAGTTGTAAAGAGAATTTTCTAGTAATTCTGAAGGACGTCTCATTTCCAGTGATTCACTTTTTTTCTGAAATATTACAGCCAAGGACCCTATGAGCGGCAATTATGAAACCTTTGCCACCTAAAGGAATAATTCTGAAATTTCCATCTTCCTCATTTAATCAATAATTATCAACATTCCCCTTGTATTGAAATAAATTTTATAGTATTATATAGAAATATTGAAGTGGCACTTTCACATACCTTAATAGATATGTGATAAACAAGTTCAGTTCCCATTTCTTGTTTGCAAGTAACTTAGCCCCGCTTTTCATTCTGTAAAAGTACATGTCTTTCCTACATATTACAATATGTAATTATTTTTTGAAACTTAGCTTTTTTTACATTTGAGGAGAAAAATATTAATAGAACTTAGTTAAATAATGAAAGAAGTGTTAAATGCATTTTCAAGAAAGTGTTAGTATTCTTTCTTACATGTACTGCAAGCACACCCATAGGTGCACTGTTTCCCTTTTTTCTTTTAATTTTGAAATTCTTATATATGTAGAGTGGGGCATTTTTAGAGGAAGATTTTTTCTCATTATTTGTAAATAAATTAATAGACTTGTGTACTATTAACTGAAACTCACTTGAGAATAACTGAGTTCTTTTCTGGTGAAATGGAAGGACTCTGGTTGTGTCAGATTGCCTTTTTTTCTTTTTAACCTCAGCTACCTTTATGTATTTTAATTATGCATGCAGAGTAAGTCAAATTTTGTTGAAAATCAAGGTACTTACTGCTTTATATATATATTTTCATTTAGTCATTGGAAATCTGTCATGATTAAGAAATTACATTAGAATATTTACCAGGGCTTGCACTTCATGGAAGATTTATGTATTTTTTATTCTAACCCAAACACAGTAAGTTGGCATTGGCTAATTTTTAGAGTTTGCACTCATTTAATGGAAAATCATATTTCCTCCTGAAAGTGGATTCAAATATTTAGTATTCATGAGCTTTCATCATTTCAGTTCTTAAATAGAAGTACTATTTATCATCTGTCTTATGCATTCACCCTTTCCATTACTATAGATTCTTTCTTTACATCTTACTGTTTATTGAGTTTACACGTGTGAGTATATATTTTCTCTTCTACCACTAAGTGTATTCTTTTTCATGTGTGTTTTTCCCAGCAACCTGCCACTCAGCCACTGCAGGAGTCCTCTGAGCCAGTTTTCATTCTTTCTTTCTGATAAATCTGATATGGCTGGTTGGCTGGACAATCACAAGCCATTCCATTGCTCAGATTTATTCCTGAAAGAAAATAAAAAGGCATCGATCCAAGATCACTAGCACATCTCAAAAGCCCTGACTCCAAGGCCAAATCTTTCCACAGAGAAGTCCCTTCTTCCCTTTCCCTCTTCCTCATTTCCTTTCTTGACTAAGGAAGGAAGGTTGTCTACTGCCATTTAACAATGCTTGTGATGCAAGGAATTGTGCTTTTTCTAAGCAATCTTTGATGCTTGGTGATTCAAGCCACCTTGAGTCTAAACATCTATGTAAGGTATACATTTTTAGACAATAAATTGAATTAGGATGCCTTAAAGATTGCAGTGCTTTAAAGCAGTGTCATTTTTTTCATTATATTAAGGTAGGTATTAAGAAAACTTATCATGTATTTTAAAAATAACAATATGTTTTGGCTTTATTACAGTGTTCTGCTACTACTGAAAATCCATATGTAATCTCTAAGTGCCTAAAACGTAGGTGAAGCAAAGGATCAAAAAGGATATATTCTGTTACACCAAACTTGTTGGCATTTACTATGTTAGATTTCATCCTTTTGAGAGATACTGATTTACGGAGATGTAAATATTTACATTGAATTTAGCTTATACATGTTTAAGTCCAGAGCTGTACTATAGAAATTAATTACCAACCATATCTTGCTGTTATCTTTTACAGTGATCTACTGAGAATACTATGTAGGGTAGAATTTAATCATATTACCTACTTTTCTCCAGGTTATATCATTTTAGAGATGTTCTATTATATTAACATTTCACCATCTGGAACCAAATTGCATCTTCTATCTAATACTTTTTTTTTTTGAGGTACTATAAATATTGAACTGTCGAGTAAAACCTTGCTTTTCATGATTTCTGATATAGCAATTAACAGTTTATAATGAAAAGGATTCCTTTGATTTTCCTTTTTTAGAAAAAAATCCTAGATCATTATTTCCTAAAACTATAGCTCTTCATAAATTTGAAGACTTGAACTGCCTATTTTGTTGTTAAGTGTTAACTCAGGAAATAGCCATATGGTTAAAATCAGAATTTCTATATTCTAGGGACAGTTACTCCAGTCCCATGTCAATCCCTTGAGCAACTCACTTCATCTCTTGGGAGTTGGCTTATCTGCCTGGGGGTTTGGGGGTGGGGAGGGATGCAAGGAATGTACTGTTTCTCTACAGTATAACAGTTTTCTGAAAAATGACTTTAAAGTCTTCTGTAATAGCAAGATACATTCCAGTAAAAAGTTTATTGTTTTTGTATATGCAATTCAGATTGCATATGTAATTTAGAACATGTGCACATATGTTAGTAAACAAATAAACTTCTTAGCAGGCTATCGGTGACAGAAGAGAACCTGTCTAATGAAATAGAGATATGGACTCTATAGCATTTGTGTTTGAAAGCCATTTCCCCAAAAATATTGCTTTTCAGAATTGCTTGGGATCGCTTTAGATTTCATTGCATATGTTTATTTTTTGAGTTGTTGGTAATTCTGACACATTCATTAAAATGACCTATTTTCCATTGCTTTAATAATTCTTTATAGCCTCTTTCTTGTTTGTATATCTGTTTCCTAAACTGGTGCTTTCTGTTTGTACTTACTTATCAAGATGAAGAGAGCTATCTTACTTTTGCAGTACAGAGATAGAATATATGTGAGTTTTGGGGCCTAATTCTTAAAGAATAGCTGTGAGCATGTAGTAATTGTTTTATACTTATTTTCATTTTGAATCTGTATTTGTTCTGTAGTCCCATCACTTTGCACAACTCCAGGGGGCAGCAGCCACACAGAATTTAATAGGAATGGTTCATGCCTGAGCTGTGGGTAGCACAGCAGCAGCCCTGCTGTTGTGTGATGCTGGAGAATAAAACACTAAAATGAAAGTTAGAGATTCTGGTCCTGATACAATAATTTGCTGTGTGATCTTGGGTTAGATTCCTTGCCTGTGTCTCAATTTTTTCACCTGTATTAGTGTAGCTAAATGTGATATTTTATTAACATCATGAATGTTTTCAACAAATCAGAAGGAAAAGCTATGTTTAAGCTTTTTAGAAAAATGCATTTGTTTTTAAGCAGTGTAAATTTTTTTAAGTGTACCTTTGATTTTCAAGTGAATTCATATATGTAGCTCTGATATGTAAACATATTAGGAATCAAAGAAATAGCTGCTTTTGTTAAAGGTACGTTGAGCAGTCAGCTTTGTGGTCCCCTGAATTTCACCTTCCACTTCTCCTTCCTTTTCTTTCCACTTTCCCATCTATTCCTCTGTGCTGGCTTCACAGAAGTCTACACTGTTTGGAAAATACTGATGGAGTCCAGTCATCTCATTTTTAAAGTGAGAAACTTGGAGTACCAGTGATAAGTTAGTGGCAGCTTCTCACACCAGTGTCATTTACTGTAACACACAAACTACTTGAAAACTCAGACACTTAAATCAGGAAGAATACATTAATTAAAGTTCGTTGTTTTAAAAGAGAACTGCAAAAACTGAAGTGAAAAGAAATGGTGCTAATTATTGTGCTGTATAATACCTTTCAATGGGAAGTCCATGGGATTGTCATTGTCATCTTTATATTTAAGATGAATTCATTAATTGTAACTTATGGTATATGAAGTTTTAAGAAGTGAAGCAACTTTGTTAAGATAGTAGAAGGATCTTTTTACCTGATTTGGCCTATTCTGAATATAGGATTTTGACTCTAAAAGTCACAAAAGGAGCAGCCCACCTTAAGTCTCTGTATATCATAGTAATTTCTAGAATTTATACCTGTCACTTTATACAGATGACCAATCAGTAGAGAATGGTTATTTCTCCACTCTGAAATAAGTAGCATACATGTTTAAATAAAATAGATTGTAAAGGGTAAGCACTGGGTTCCTTATCACTAGTTAGTTGGTAGAGTCCCACAATCCGAGTGATATTCCAGACTTTTCCAGGTCCATCATCCAACCCAAGGTTCTTTACTGTATCCACTGTCTTTGCTGAGTCTCTCCCAACCCCACCTTTTTTTCTCCAGGCCCAGACAAAGATGTAGGTGTGTTCTTTGAACAAATGCATGAGTAAAACTAATTACTAAGTTATTATGCATTCATTGTTATGGCACGTTTCCCTGCCTTTAGAAGGCTTCTGCAGGCTGCTTCTTTGGGCCTTCATGACTGCAGTGTTGTTGATATAACCTTGACTTTGGTTGTGGGTGACTTCTCTCAAGCCCCTGAGCTTTCTTGGGCATGCTCAGCATTCTCGTGGGCCCTAGTGACAGAAGGGAGATTTGAAACTCATTTAGGAATTAGAAATGAAAATGGACCCTTGTAACAAAAGATTAACATAGACACTGTGGAACTTTCTATGAAACATCATTAAAAACTCTCCCTTGGGGTGTAGCTCAGCACGATTTCTGTCAATCACATTATTTCCAATATTGTGGGAGTTACCAAAGCATACTAAACACCAATAAGAATGCTCAAGACTCAGTTTCTGAATCCAGGAGTTAATCGGAATCAGGGTTATGTGAATATTTCTATTTATTTCACCTGGAATATAAAAGTATTTAAAGAAAAGAAAATGAATGGTGTAATAAGCATTTGTTTATTTTCCAAACAGATCAGACTTGTAAACAATCAGTTTCACCTGATAAGCTTTACGACTCTTCTGATATTATATCTGGTCCCACATTCACTGGTTCAAGTGGATATTGAAATATTAAGCCTTTAGGTTACAAGCAGGGATCATAAACCTGCTTTTTAAAAACATATCTGCTAGTCTTCTCTCTCCTGCTGAGGGTGTCTCTTGGCTGATAAAACATGGTGACAGATTATCTAAGTTCTGTGTCTGTATCTAGTATGGCTGCAGCTTGAGCAGTTAAGTTATGCAGTCCTCTGTTTCAGGATGGATCCCTATCACTAGCAGGGGTATACCTAATAGAGGTCATGGGTGACAGTGACTGTTTTGCTCTAGGCAAACTCTCCTTTTACTAAAATCTTTCTTTGTCAGTATTTGCTATTCTTCCCTGTAGGCTCAAAGAATATGAATTTCTTTCTATTGGGGCCTATGGGAGCCAAATAAAAATAAAACAGAATAATATTTCTTTTAGACATATACTTTTTTTTTTTTTTTGGACAGGCAGCATTAGACAGTGAGAGAGAGAGAGAGAGACAGAGAAAAGTCTTCCCTCCGTTGGTTCACCCCCCAAATAGCTGCTACGGATGGCGCACTGCGCCGATCTGAAGCCAGGAGCCAGGTGCTTCCTCTTGGTCTCCCATGCGGGTGCAGGGCCCAAGCACCTGGGCCATCTTCCACTGCCTTCCCCGGCCACAGCAGGGAGCTGGACTGGAAGAGGAGCAACCGGGACAGAACCCGGCGCCCCAACCAGGACTAGAACCCCGGGGTGCCTCACCAGGACTAGAACCCTGGGGTGCCTCCGCAGGCGGAGGATTAGCCTATTGAGCCAGGGCGCCGGCATAGACATATACTTTTGGTTTGAAGAATTCCTTTAGTCATTTTGTCTGGAACTAGAACAATTAAATAAGTTTCTTTTAAGGAAAATTGACTGCATGGCTTATTAAAATTAAAAATTTCTGTGAAATCATGTAGTCCTTAAAAAGCCCAGAAGGGCTATTGCAAGATCCTCTCTATGGGTCTCGTCTTTCCACATGTTCATATCCCAAATCCTTCCTGTTGCCACCAGATGACCTTTTCTAAAATAATACTTTCATTATCTTTGTTTTTGTTCTGAAACCTTCAGTGATCACCACTGCAAAATTTAAAGCCTGCTAAAATACTCTTCAGTTTCCTTAATCCTGTTTTAGGATTTCTTAAGATATATTGTATCTAAGAACCAGGCTGACCTAGACAGAGTTCCCTGACCATGCTTGTTCATTGTGTTTACTTTTGCTGACCCCTTTCCCTGGAATTCTTGGCCCTTTTTTGTTGCCTCTGCCCCACCAAACTTTTGAATCTTTTCAAAATATTTATTTATTTATTGGAAATACAGTTACAAGAGAGAGATAGGAAGAGATAAAGATCTTCTACCTGCTGTTTCACTCCTCAAATGGCGGCAGTGGCCAGGGCTAGTTCAGACCTCAGTCAGGAGCCAGGAGCTTCTTTCAGGTCTTCCACATGGGTGCAAGGGCCCTAGTACTTGGGCCATGCTCCATTGCTTTCCTAGACACATTAGCAGGGAGCTGGATTGGGAGTGTAGCAGCCAGGACTTGATCCAGCGCCTATATGGGATGCCTAGGTCGCAGGTAAGCACTTTACCTGCCATGCCACAATGCTGGTGCCTGAACTTTTGAATCTTTTAAGCTTTAACTTTACAGTATACCTCCTCATTACATCTTCACTGACTACCCAGCCTACAGTCCTTGTCAATATCATTATTTAATCTAAAACATTCTGTAGTTTTATCTTTCTAAGTAGAAGAGGTTTTATTCCCCGCAGAGACTAATATGATACTACATACATAGTAAGTACTTTAAAAATATTTTTAATGAAAGAATAGCATGCATTTGCTGGAACAATTTTAAGCTCATTCATGAATGGTTATTATTTGTAATTAAACCATATAGTGCACAAAGTAAGTGTTCTAAAAACATAATTACAGAATTCTTAATAATAGATGTTAGGCATGTTTACCCTGGGAATTTCTTTGGTTGTTTTCTTGAGCTTCCTAGGGTATTTCTCCAAATGGGGTGTTTTCAACACTATACCATTTGTCCCTGTGCCCATTTTTAGAGTCTGCTCATACTATGCTACAAAGCATTTCAATTGATTTGATTTTGGCAAGCTAAATATATGTGAATACCATTCTTAAACATATAACTGTTTTATAGTCCACTGTTTTGATGTCTCATGGCCATTGTATTGCTATTTCTTACCCCCAATCTTAAAGTTTTAATCAGTTTAAGCGTTAAGTGTTGGCTGACGCACCAGTGTATTTCATGACCATGTAAGGAACTGAGGAGGTGCTATAAGAAGCTCAGGTTGCCAACTTTTCTGTTAAAGAAGGATAGGTGGGGCTAGTGAAACATAGTGTAAAAATGTTGGCCGGTGCCGCGGCTCACTAGGCTAATCCTCCGCCTTGCGGCGCCGGCACACCGGGTTCTAGTCCCGGTCGGGGCGCCGGATTCTGTCCCGGTTGCCCCTCTTCCAGGCCAGCTCTCTGCTGTGGCCAGGGAGTGCAGTGGAGGATGGCCCAAGTGCTTGGGCCCTGCACCCCATGGGAGACCAGGAGAAGTACCTGGCTCCTGCCATCGGATCAGCGCGGTGCGCCGGCCGTAGCGCGCTGGCCGCGGTGGCCATTGGAGGGTGAACCAACGGCAAAGGAAGACCTTTCTCTCTGTCTCTCTGTCTCTCTCACTGTCCACTCTGCCCGTCAAAAAAAAAAAATGTTATTAAAGGATTTTACAAAATCTTGGGAGGAATATTTGCCCTCACAGATATGTAAACAAGTATTTCATGAAAAAAAGGATTCCAGGCAGAATCTGGTGTATTCTATCCCCAGGTATTTGCGACAATACAACTTTGTTACAGATAAAATTTCTCAGTGTGTTAAAGTGGATAACACAAGCTTACCACTTTGAAAGGACCATATAAAGGAAGCATTTGCAGCATAACTGAACTAAGAAGAGGTGATGGGGATTCTCTTAACTGCTGTTTTATATGATTCGTTCTGCATTCTGAAAGTTGGTGAGATGATTATAGTATTTATAATACTTATATTCTACTAAGGAAAATGCTCTTCTAAACACCTTTTCTAAAGTTAACAAATCTTAAACTCTCAATATTTCTAGGCACTAGGGTACACTAATTGTAAATTAATTTATAATTACCTGAAAGAGTTAATATAACTTTCAAAATTGACTGTAGAATAATCTGCTATTGAGAGAATTGGATACAGAGACATTAGCACATCTGACTGAAAATTTTTGAGTTTTCCTGATCTTTTTTCTTTAAGGATTTGTGAGAACATTTGGGTCAGAGATTATGGCTCCTATATTATAGATGAGGAAATTAAGCTGGCAAGTAGTATGTAAGAGTGGAGTCTAACTGGTTCTTTCTTGTGGTAAGGTGCGTTTCTGCCCTGTCCTGGGAGCCAGGTGGCTCTGTTTTTTTCTTTGCAGTCTCTTGCCTGCCTTCCTCACAGCACAGCAGCTAAGGATGCCTCTCAAAGACATGATATTCCATATGTCCCTGCTATGTGAGAGAGGGAAGCAGCTATTTTACTTTTCCTGTAGCCACATGAAGAAGTTTGTTAGATAAATCTGTTAGGAGTTCTGCTTTAGGTTACCCTGTATATACCCTCTTCCATTGTATTCTCCAGATTTCTTTCTGTGTATTGTGTATGTTAAGGAAACCATCATATAAGACCTATCTCCCTGAGGGAACTTTAAAGCAGGAATATATGCATTATTTTGGGACTTGCATTTATACAAATGGAGAAATCTTTTTGAAAACAGTATAGAAATAGAATTGCAAATTATATGCAGAGCCTTGGAAAGCATCAGTGCAGTAGAGAAGCTCTGAAGCAGAAGCTGTTTTAAAAACTTTATGGTAAATCTGTCTGTTGGAAAGTATTTCAAGAAGTAATATTAGCCTTCCTTTAACTGTAAATTCAGTGTGTCATTATATAATTTCTTTTTTTTTTTCTCCTATTGCATGGAGTGAGTGCCCATTATGAATGTAGGAGAATGCATTGCTTTGAGAAGCAAAGTGCTAAGTAGCGTAAGATCATATTGTAAAATATTTCAGTATATCTTTGGAAATAATGTACTATATAGAGATAATTTTCAGAATATTTTCTCTCCAGATATGGGTATGACTAATCCAGGTATACATCTACTTTCTGGACATCATATTTTTAAATGGTCATGTAATAGTGTCTCAGACAATTCTGTTTACTACAGTTAGATATAATTTAAAAGACTCTTGCTAGTATAAAAGCTATATTATTGAAAACCTGCATCTTGAAACAAAGCTCATTGGCTTTTCAGTCTTTTGCTATTACTGTGGAAAAATGTCTATCTTTGACTTTTACCCTGTGGCCCAGTTAAATGTGACCATTTAAACTACAGTAGAAATTGTTAGAAGTGAGTGAAACAACACATCCAAATTAGAATCAGTAGTCAGCACAGATCTTTGATGTTTTTACGTAATATATGAACATATTTAAGAAACAATAAAAGGACTAGTATTTCAAGTCACACTTTTACTATGTAAAAATTGCAGCTTAAAAGTTAATATTCCCAGTTGTTAACTTGAAATTAAGCAGCCCATTGTCCCTGGTGATATATCGAAACCTCTGAAAACGTGCTTGGAACTAATGGAAACTGAAGTGATTGGTATTCAGATATAATTCTTTAGTGGCCCTTTTCTTTCCTTCCTTTTAAGTACAGGATGAAAATTGAAAGTATAAAAAGATTCAAGATAAATTCAAATAGACAAAGCATTTTATGCAACTGTTGGTGAAAGGGGCACTCATGATTTTTTTCGGAGCTTATTCTGTTGCTTGTGGCCAGAATTAGCACACCATGAGCCAGGGAAAGAGATAAGACAAATAGAATGGCACGCAGCTAATTTTGTTTAGCAAATTTAGATCTAATACATGCTATTTCACTCCTACAAACTGAGTCAGTCACTGTTTGAAAGGTACAGATGAAGTTTGTCTCCTATGGTTTAACAGCTTTCACTCAATATTTATAGGCTACATAAAAATAAATTTCTGTAAGTACCATGTTTCTCACTGGCAGGATGAGCACTGTGAAAGTAGATTTATTAATGAGAAAAAAGGAAAAACAAAAACATTGCAATTGTTCCAGGTCTTCAGGAAATACAATATGTCAAACTATCCAAAATATCTTTTTTTCAAGGACATATATAGCGGGGTTTTGATATTCAAGGATTTTTACTACTAGAGAGTGAGTCAGAAATCCCATTATTTTATGATAATTTCATGATTTGAATCTGGTAGATGTAGGATCATATTCTGGAACAAGTCATTCATCTGCCATATGAGCCAACAGGACAGGATCCACTGTAATAACCAGTAAGTGGCTTAAAACAAAACAAAGCAAAACAAAACAGACAGGACCTCAAATATTGGACTCTGTGAAAAAGTGCTGTCATCTAAATGAATGCATTTTGTGAAATTTCTAAGTGAGGCTAACTTTTATAAGAAAATGGTCACAACATGATAGTGATGGAAATGTGATTTTAGAAAAAGTCAGGAATTTATTTTGGGAATATCTTTTTAAATTAATATATTTTAATTTAAACATAACAGATTATTTAATGTAGTTGATAGATACAATTCTAAGAATATAATGATGCTTCCCTTCTTTCCCTCCATCTTTGTCTTTTACTTCTCTCCTCTCTATCTCTCTACCAGTGTGTGTGTGTGTGTGTGTGTGTGTGTGTCTGTCTTGTCTTTTGATACTTTTCTAATTTTTTTCTAGCACACTGAATTACAGTATATCCAAAAACTTGTAATATTATTTATGTGTCTGCTAGAGCTTTGTCATGGTGCAAGACTAGATTCTCCATAATCAAACAGTATAGAAAATTATTCTCATATTCATGAATTGGTCATCTAATCATGTTTCTATCAAAGGTGTTTTTTTTTTTTTTTTTAACAGATAGTTTCTGTTTTGATTAAGGTCTGTAGTAATTGTGTAAGTGTTGGTGGTACATGAAGGTTTTAAACTTGAAGACATGTTTGGTTTTATACTGAGTCAAGATCAGTAACACTTCCTATTCAAATATATGAAAAGATAATTTCACCATATATTTTTTATTTCTACTAGGAATGTGGAGACATACACTTTGCATTTTCAAAATCTCATAAATCCTTATGTAGAATGTGATAAGGTATAGTACATTACAAAGTATAACATTCAACCAATATATTTCTTGTGATTTTATTGATGTTAAAATACTGAAGTACATTCCTACCTAACTGGGTTTTCTAAGTCCTTTCCCCGTGACTGCTTCCTCAGATTAACCCTGAATAAAGAGTTAACATCTGGTAGAATAATGGACTTCAGACCTCTTCTCTTGCATTGCTGCAAATCACTCTGAGGACCCTCTGCCATTACAGCCAGTAAATATTTTCTATATTACCTGTACACATAATAAAAATTTGCCATAAGTATTTAAAATAACAGAAATATAAGGATACCTCAAGAAGTTCATGGAAAATGAAATTAAAATGTAAATTTATTTTGGTGGAAAAATTGAAATTCATATGTAGTTTCTTCATAACTGCATTTCTCATTAACCACTCTTGGAGAGAGAGAGAGAGAGAGAGAGAGAGAGAGAGAGAGATTGAGATTGAGATTTTCCATCTGCTGGTTCACTCTCCAAATGGTCACAATGGCCATGGCTAGACCAGATTGAAACCAGGAGCCAGGAGCTTCTTCTGGATCTCTCACGTGGGTGCAGGGGCTCAAGCACTTGGGCCATCTGGATACTTTTCTAGGCACATTAGCAGGGAGCAGAACTGGAAGTAGAACAGCCAAGACTTGAACTTATGCCCATATGGGATGCCTGTGCCACAGGTGACAGCTTTACTTGCTGCACTTAGCGCCAGCCCCAGGACTCAACATTTTGAGCCACTGCCTGCCACAGTGGGTAGCAGCAGGAAGATGGAAGGTAGAGTAGAGGTGGACCATGAACCCAGGTATCCATAGTGGCTTTTTAACCACTACACCAAATGCCTGCTACTCCGTGAACCTTTTTAAGTAACCTCATGTGAATAGAGTCCTACCAACTTTGCCAAAAATAAATAGTAGCTAATTTGAGCAGTGAATATTTCTGAATATTTAGGTATTTCACAGCATAGATGCTTCTTTTATATGACTTGGAGTTAAAACAGAAATAACTTAAACATGATAGGTTGTCATTGGTCATAAATTGAATTGGGCTAGGAGAAAATCATATGAGGCAAGCCGAAGGACCAAAATTAAGCAGATGTTATAAATTTTCCCGAAAGTGAGCATTGGTCCTGATGAGTCAATTGTGTATATAATTTGGGCTGCTGAGTAATCAACACTTGATTTTCTGAAGGTCGCCATCTATATGGTAATAACCATAGGACACACTCATAATACAATCAGAATTAATGATTTTCTGAACAAGCATTAGCTGTCACAGTTGTGTGTTTTAGATATCAGACTGTCCCCTGAGGGTACCATGCCTGCTTATCCAACTTATGTTGGATAAGCATAAAAGAATCCATTTTAAAACATTCTTATAAATTAAAATATATTGTGGCAGAAATGGTGACTATCATCTTAACTATGACACATTTGGTAACTTAGATTTGGACATGTTTTTAAAAATTCTGTATTCTTACAGAATAATGGCATCCCATTGCATTTGAAGAATGATTATAAGAAATAAGGAGATCCCAGGGATAGAATAGAAGAGCCTTGGGAAGGGCACATGGTAATGTCCTTAATAGCTGGAGGGCTGCTACATATAAGAGGGATTAGCGCTGTTCTGTGTAGCCTTGGAGAACAGAAACATTAACAGCTGTTTGAAGTTGTAAGGCATCACATTTCAGTTGAACACTATCAAGGAGTTTCTCATAGTTAGAGCTTCCCAGAGTTGGAATGGCCTGTCCTGGGAGGTAGTGAGTTCCTTCATGTGTGCAGTGGGAAGCTCTGATCTAACCTCCACTATGACAATAAAGAATAAATGAGGCAGCTGAGGAACAACTGGTCAGAAGTGGTGGGGTTGGGGGTTGGTTTTGTGTCCTTGAGAATCAGTCACAAGCATACCATGCTCAAGTATCCTATCCTAGCCTCTAAAAGAGATTAAATATGAATTCCATGTCACTGTGATGGATTCCCACCCATCTGATTTGTCACTGTACTACCTAGCATTCTTAGGTGGGATATTTGTGAAGGAATTTTGGTATTTGATTCTCTTATATGTAAAATAAATTGCTCTTGTTTTTTTTTTCTCAGCAGTCTTTCTGTTAGACTTCGATACTATGTACTATCACCAATTAATCATTCTCAGTTAAAATAAACATGGTACAGAATTGAAGCCTTCAAATTTAACACCCACACCTGCACACACATACATGTATACACATGCACACTTTGGTGTACTCCAGGGTTTATGCCAGCAAGTATTTATAAGACTGGTTCTAACTAAACTGCAGGGTTACATTTACAAGAAGATGGGGATATAGTTAGGCACAGCATGAAGTTAGCAAACTGAACCTGCAGTTGTGGTTGGAGCATAAAGTGTTGAAAAATAGCAGCAAAAGAGAAGCACTTTCCTAAGTACACTGAAAATCAAAAGGAGAAAACAAAGATAAAGGTACATGTATATACTTCACTTATTACAAATAAAGTTGACCTTTATTTTAGACATATTTTACTCCAAAGTCTTTGATGTTTAAATATCTTTTACTGCCACTTTTAGATTATTTATTTTCATATTATTTGAAAAGCAGAGAGACAGACAGAGGATGGTTCACTCTCTAACCAGCTCTAACAGCCAGGTCTGATTCAGGCCAGTGCAGGATCCTAGAACTCAATCGGGGTCTCCCATGTGAGTGGCAGGAAGCCATCTACTTTAGCCATTGTCTGCTACTTCTCAGAGTGTGCAGTTCTAGGAAGCTGGAATAAGAAATGGAGCCAATAATTAAGCCCAGGCAATTTGATATGGAATATGAACTTCCCAAGCAGCATCTTAACCAGTGCACCAGTTGCCTGCCCACTACCACTTTCATTTAAACAATTATTATTTGAGAGACAGAAATATAGAGAGCAAAAGCTCCCATCTATTGGTTTACTTCTGAGATTCCTGCAGTGGTTGGGGCTGGACCACGGTCAGGGCTGAGGTCAGGGCAGAGCTGAGGGGGAACTCAATCCAGGTCTCCCACATTGGTGACCACCACCACTGCCTACCAGAGTCCACATTAGCAGGATACTAGAATCAGGAGCTGGATGCAGGTATTGAACCCAGAGAATGGTGGGAAGAATTACTATGTTTCTAAAGTGGTAGTTATGAAATGAATGCAAAATAAATAAATAAATAAATAGAAGCAGACTATCTAGAACTTGAACCAGGCACTCAGATATGGGGTGCTGGTGTTCAAGGAGTAATGTAATTGCTTTACCAAAAGCATAACCTACTTTTCACAATTTAATGTGCTTGCCATAGATTGTATAAACTTCTATATAAACCACAAGCTAATTCTTCAATGATAAAACCCAATAAATCTTAATATCTAACATTTATTAAAGTCTTGTTATATTAGGAAGTGCCTTAAGCACCTCTCATCTGATCTGAGCAACATACTCTAGTGCCATAATTTCACAGACAAGAAAACAGAAGCTTAGGGATTAATAGCTTGTCAGATGACACATACCTATGCAGGTGATGAATCAGTGATTCTTGCTATTAATTTCACATGGTCCAAATATCAATATTTATTGTATGTAAAATAAACTAAATCCCTTAAAAAGTATGCTATCAACATAGATGAATTTATTATCTCTTTTACACCATTAATAATTACTTGATCTCCATAAAAACAACATATAACTGGATGTATTTATGAATATGCAAAATATGGGGATGAATAAGAACAATAATATGATATTCTGTTTTTATATTATGGTTTCAGAATATTACTAATGTTATTTGAAATGTTACTCTATTTGAAGAGTAATTATTTTGGTCTATTTAAAAATTGATAACTTGAAGTAAAATATTGCAAAGAGTGAAGCAGAGGTAACATAAAGAGACTTCCGGTTTGAACACTAACCATGTGACTGTGCATTAGTTAATCTAATATAAGATGTTTTAAGGTGAATCTTTATTAATTTATTTGTATGTGAGAGAAAGAGATTGATCGATTAATTTCCCATCTAATGGTTACTCCTCACATGCCTGTAATAGACAGGGCTGAACTAAGCTGAATCCAGAACTGGGAACTCAGTACAGGTCCTGCACATGGTTGACAGGGACCCAATTACTTGAGGCACCACGTGCTGTCTCCTGGATGCACATTAGCAGGAAACTGGAACCTAGAATGGTTTCTCAAACCCAAGTACTCTGATGGAATGTGGATATCTCAGGTGACGTCTTAACCACTACACCAGTCACCCATCCCTAACGCTTTTAAGCTTCCAATTTGTCATTTACAATGGAATCTAAAGCTATTATGACCTCCACAGTTGTAAGGATTAAATGAGGTAATCCATATCAAGTACTATAAAGTATTGCTCAGTAAATGTTAGTATATTATGTAATGCTATAGTAATAGTACTACTATGATAACTAAGACCGTTTAAAGCCAAAGAATTAAGTATAATGAATTGAAAGTTACAAAATGTTAAATATGAGAAGATCATGAATTTTTCCATTTCTCATAATTTGAACTTGAATTCAAAACTCATGAGGTATTAATGGTTTGCAGAATAGTTGTATATATGGACTGGAATGAGCACTGTAAGTAGACCTGGGGAAGAATCTGGCTCTCTCTGAGGGGCAGTTTTCTCAAATCATTTTTCCTTCATATTCTGTTTTTATAGTTTTGGTATTAAAAAAAAGAGCTTAGAGAGACAGTTTTGTTCCAAAGATTTATGTTTACCTGGCAAACTCAGATCCTCTGTCCTTTCATCCTTATTGTTTTTTAAAGTGCCTTCAAGAGAAAATGGCTTTTAATCAAATTCATGAGATGACTTTTTATGTTACACTTTATAGGCATTTAAACTTTTCAAGATAGGACACAACTAATGTAATGTATGACTGAAAGTATTTTTGGAAAATTTCTGCATGCTAGAGTAGACTTCTTAAGATCTGTATAAAAATACTGAACAAATTTTGTCAAATAGAAGATATCTAGTAAATTATTGTATCAAATGCTTTTGCTAAAGTATAACTGTTTTAGAGCCTAATTAGTTATATTTAGATATATATGGAGTCAGCTAAAAGATACACATCATAAAGTTTTTGATTCACAGACATATATTGAAAATGCACATTTGTTTATTTGAACTGGCATACCTTAAAACCTTTCATTATAAAAAGCATTACTGGGCTGGCACCGTGGCTCACTTGGTTAATCCTCTGCCTGCAGTGCCAGCATCCCATTTGGGCGCCGGGTTCTAGTCCTGGTTGCTCCTCTTCCAGTCCAGCTCTCTGCTGTGGTCCGGGAGGGCAGTGGAGGATGGCCCAAGTGCTTGGACGCCTGCACTCGCATGGGAGACCACGAAGAAGCACCTGGCTCCTGGCTTTGGATTGGTGCAGCTCTGACCGTGGTGGCCATTTTGGGGGTGAACCAACGGAAGGAAGACCTTTCTCTCTCTCTCCCCCTCTCTCTCTCTCTCTCTCTAACTCTATCTGTCAAAAAAAAAAAAATTACTGCAGTGGGCATTTGGCATAATGGGTTAAGACACTGGGATGTTTACATCTAATATCAGAGTTCCTGTGTTTGAGTTCTGGACCTTCTACTTGTTAAATTCTTGATAATGCAAATCCTGGGAAGCAGAAGTGATGGTTCAAGTTGTTGGGTTCCTGCCACCAGTATGGGAGACGTGGATTGAGTTTCTGGTCTTAGCCCTGTCCAACTCAGTTGTAGGCAATTGATGAGTAAACCAGTGGATAGGCGAACTGCCTGCCTGCTTGTCTGTCTGTCTCTCTTCCTTTCAAATAAATAAAACAAATAAATACAATTAAAAAATACTAATGGGAAGGGCCATTTTAGCTCTTCTAAAGTTGACCCTTTTCTTTTTTGCAATAACCTCAAACTCCCTACAGCCAGTGAATTAGATTAAAAAAAAAAAAAGCTATTTCTCCTGTTTACCAATGTAGAGATGTATAATAATGCTGTGAATTCGCCATTCTGGCAAAAAAAAAAAAAAAGCATATCTTTATAAATTTAGGTCATTATCTTTAGGAATTTTGTACACAACTCTACCGCTTGTCATTATCTTATTTAGCTGGCAGGTGGTGCTCCAGAACAATATGGGCAGTGGGGATTTGTGATTAGATTTCTATCAGAGATCCTGGGACAAACTGTGAACCTAACTCTTAAAGACTTTGAAAGGAGCAGTTGAATTACTAAAAAATTTCATATGAGGATAGTAACCCAACAGAATAAATTCAAGAAAGCAAATTTTTTTTTTTACATTTTAAATGTGCTTTACATGAAAACTTTTATCTTGACTGGAATTAAGATCTCATGTAACTTCAACTATACTATATACTTAAAATCAGATCAATAAATTAGAAGATCAAATGGTAATCCATATTTATACCACTAATTTCAGTTCATTGATGTTCTATTTTTGTTATTGTTATGACATTCTCTTCAAGTTATGGTTGATTTTAAATTTAGAACATTGAAGTTTTAACTATATATCTGAATGGAAAGATGTTTTAAAATATGTTTATCTAAGTAGTATGTCCTGATATATTGTAAGTTCAACTTCATGAATGTATTCCATAAATGACAACTTGTAGTTGTAACTATGGTAACCCTTCATCAGGTACTTCGTGGTGTACATTGAGAGTGGTAAGGTAATGGAAATGATAGCAATTTATGTTCAAGGTTTGAATTTACAAAGAGGATGTGCTGATTTCATGAGAAAAGCAGGCATATGCGACAGGATAAGCTGGATGGCTGGAGATGGATTAACCACCAAGTAACATTCAATCTGTTTTTCTTTCCTTTATTTTGCTGCATGCTGCTTTTGTTTTAGATCCTGTTCTCTTCCACTCTTGAGTGGTTCTAATTGCATCTATGAATCAAGAATCTACTCATTCTGCTCTTAAAAAGCAGTCTTAATCATTTGTTGCCAGTCAATATTGTACTTAAGAAACATTCTAGCAAGTATCTTTTCACTCTATGGTGAGCCATTTTGTTACTGTTTTTGACTGTTGTTTACATCACTGTAATTTTAAAGTTCTACAGTGTTTGTTAGGGGTTTATGTATTTATGAATTAACACTTTGCCCTAACACCTCCCACTTAGTATCAAAGCAGCTCTCTTTTCTACTGGTACATTTGGAGGAGTTTATCATGATTCTAATTCTGTCACTGATTTCCTTTTAGTAGTGATTTGATATGTAATTGTGTATAGCAATTTGTGTTTTGATATTTCATTTACTATCAGAAAAAGGCTCTGTTAAACATTGAAGGTTAGTTTGGCTTAGCCCCCACAGCATGGAAAACAAGATGCAGACCTCCTGTTGTACAGTGTTGATTTGGCTGTATCTATTATTTAAGTCTGAAAATAAGAGAAAGGTCTATATATTTTTGCTGAATTAATTTGTCTTAAATTTGATAAGATTGCACACCTTCAAGGAGAAAGCATCATATTCTGAGTTTAATTTCTCAGATATAAACTTTACTAAAATTTTACAAATATTCTTCCAGAATTTGAGTTTTGCATCCTTATTTAGTGGTTGCAAATATACAAAGTAGATTATCTGCCTGAAGTGAATACAGTTTAAGAGCAGAAAATTACTGATTTCAAAAATGAGTTGTTGGGGACAGCACTGTTGTGTAGTAGGCTCAATCTCTGCTTGCGGTGCCAGCATCCCGTATGGGTTCTGGTCTGTGTCCCCACTGCTCCTCTTCCAATCCAGCTCGCTGGTATTGCCCTGGGAAAGCAGTAGAAGATGGCCCAAGTGCTGGGGCCCCTGAATCCATGTGGGAGACCCAGAAGAAGCTCCTGGCTTCAGATTGGCCCAACCTTTGCTGTTGCAGCCGTTTGGGGAGTGAACAAGTGGATGGAAGACCTCTGTGTCTCTCCCTCTTTCTGTATGTAACTACTTCTCAAATAAATAAATAAATAAATAAATAAATAAATAAATAAATCTATCTTCCTCCGATTTTACTGCAGCCATGTATATTTCCCTTTGTCTTTTCATGCCGCGCAGTACCTTTAATTTCACCATGACCACTATAGCTATCAATTTGTTCTTCAAAAAGAATTCTGATTTTTATTCTTCCAAAGAGAGGTGAAGTTATGTGCATTGATTAAATTTAATTGTGTTTATATTACATAAGAGTTGTAAATCAGGCTTTAAAATTTTTTGAATTTTCTAAAGAAATGACATTTTGAAATTATTCCACTTCAATAGAATTTTTTACCTTTTTTTTTTTTTTAAAGACTCTAGTATTAACTATCTGTAGTTCTGTTTCTAAGAAGACAGCTAGTAAGCTTTTCTGGATTTCTTTGCATTTTGAGAAACAGAGTTTAGAAGAAGTTTAGGTTTTTATAAGTTTTTCATTCTTCCTGACTCAAACTAGTGCATAGGGCTCTGGAACACACAGGATGGCAGCAGTTGCAGTCCCAAAGTTTTTTCAGGGGTGATGATTGAACAGCTGTCCTTTTGACTGTGATCCCTATTTGGAATAGTCCCAGGACTTGTGAAAGAAATCTGCTCTAGGATTATTGCTGACATGCATGTATTCATGTCCTCAGACCTTCCATTCACCCCCCACCCCCAGGATCACTGCTTCTCTCTGAGCAGTTAGATGTGGAATGGTGACTGTGCTAGTAGATATTTCCTCTGCACAGTACTGCCTCCTTTTTTTTCTACTTCTCCCTTCCTGTATTTCATGTATGAACAATTATATTTAAGAACTTGGGCTATTCATTTTCTAAATGATTTGGAAATTATGAAGTAAAAATTACCAAAGTTGTTCTTTACAACAACAAAGACAGAAATTGTTCTTGAGAGAGGCTTACAGTACCCTCAGTGGTTTATTTTTACACAAATATTTTGATTCTTAGTGGTTTCATGCATCACTGCAGTTCTCTTAGCTGCAAATTCTCCTTGTTAGGCTCTAAAGTTTTTACAAATATGCAAATGTTCATGTATATTTAATAACTTTGACACTCTTGAATGTTCTGTTTCTCAAGATTTTTAGGTGGTCTTGGGAAAATCTGTGATGAATTACTTAATTTTTAATTGCAAATTAACATTCATTCTTAGATATAATTTGCAATAAGCCACAATGGATTAAAATAATTGCTTTCTTTTCTATATTGAGATCAGAGATAAGCAATAGAATTATGTTTTCTAGGGTTATTTTTTCAATGCATTTACTCTTTCTGACCCTTCCAGGCTGTGGTATACCTATATAGAAAATCAGGCTTTATTGGCTGTTAGTATTTTAGATTTACTTATGGTCATTACTGTAGATCTATGATAGTTTCACCAGAAGCTGTGCATTAAATGTTTCATAACAAAAGACAATGAAAGTTACCTGTCTATTCCCTATTAATGCTATTCTTTGAAGTTTTCTAAGTTTTAGCTATATTCAAATAATGTATTTTTACCGATGGAAAGTTGACATGGCACCCCTCTGCAGGGTTTTGTTATGTTTTATTTCATGCAGTGTGCAGCATCTTAATTCTTATAATAACAGGGTTGCTTGTTTGCCAGCAGGAAGCCCCTCAAAGCAAGATGATGCTTCTTGGTTGCTGGATTTCTATATAAATAAATAACAATTCACACATTCCTTTTCCAAACTGAAGTCAGTGAGATAATGCTATATAACTTTTTTTCCATTTAAAAAATAGCTGTATTATGTCAGTGACCTGTAATAAATGGCACTGCAAGGAGAAGCGACAGCCTCATTCACCTTGCATCCATGCAGAAATAACTGAGCTCTATTTCCATGGCTGGAGGGAGAAGAAGAAAGAAGAGAGTGAAAGAAAAGAACTGACCTTGGATTGCAGTCAGTCTCATGCTAACAAGGGGGAGTTTACACTGACTATTTTTACTACATTGAATTTACCACTCACTGCTTTGCAAATATTCCCTGTACTCCAAGTCGGTGGGACTATAGTGAACAGTCTTGCCATTTTCCTGAATTCTATATATTTTCAATTAATCTTTTGTCATGGGCCAAATATTGCATTGATTTTTTTTTTTTTACTGATTAAACCTTATAATACAGTAATCACAAATGCAAATTTTGGACAAGGTTGGCACCAGATGTTTACACTTTGTAATTTTTGATAAGGGACTATTATCTTCTTCTACTCTCCCTAACAAATTCCGTTGATCATCAACATTGCAAAATGTTGAATATAACAACTAAAATTAGCTACATGTTACTCAACAAACTAAAGCTAGGGCCTTTAAATTCTTTGTCAATTAACATTCTAAAATATTTGATGTTTTAGAATTTTAACTGTAATTCTAAGATTTCCAACAGGTATTGTACAGGGAATAAAGGAAACTTTCCTGGTGATTATAGGCCTGAAACTAAATGCTTTACTTGGATTTGTTTCACAGGAAATTTGTGGAAATCATGCAAACATCGTTCAGTGGAATTCAGTCTGAAGGCCTTATTTACACATTTGTTTAGCCATTCCTTTTTCTAACACCTACCAGCCTTGCACAGCAGTGAAATCAGACAGTCTGATGTTACAGAGAAAGACCAAAGATATTTCCTCCCAGCTCCTAAATTAGAATCAATCTCTATAGAAAATCAAGAGTCTAAGATTTTGTATTTGTCTTTTACAAAAGAACATGTACAATAACACCTCATTTATAACCTCTGAATAATTTAAGAAATACGTAGAAGTTCACTGTACTCTAGTGAAAATACAGATTATTTTGGTACAAACTATATTAATTGTATTTTAATGTTTGCTGTGTTTTTGATGTCTGTGAGGCAGATTGTTCTCTGGAAGAGTTCTCAGAATGATCATCCGTTCCAGTTATTTTGTTTTGTAGAACATAAATTGAAGACTCAGAGAGGATATTCACTTAAGAACAAGTAGCCAGTCATTGGTAGAGGCTGGAATTTATGTTGTCTGAAACTTTTCTATTGCTCAGGCAACCAGCCCTAACTGGGGAGGGACACAGAGCTCACTACAGTTTTTACGGTGCATTTAATAGATAACTTTTATTTTTATTTTATCTATTTTAAAGGCAGAGTTATAAAAGAGGAGAACACGCACACGCGCACGTGCGCACACATAAACACGCACACACACGCTGTGAGAGAAAGGGAAGCTGGGGCTGGGCAAGGCCAAAACCAGGAGCCTGGAACTCCATCTGGGTCTCCTATATAGGCACAGGGAATCAAGCACTCAGGCCATCCTTTGTTGCTTTCCCAGATGTATTAGCAGGGAGCTGGATTAGAAGTGGAGCTGCCCAGTATGGGATCCCAGTATTACAGGCATGGCTTAATGTGCTGTGCCACAAAGCTATCCCTGATCATTTTTATCATTAAAATGACATTTATTTCAAAAAAATTCAAAATTCACACATGCAGAAATGAAGAAAATATCAATTTTTTTGACAGGCAGAGTGGACAGTGAGAGAGAGAGAGACAGAGAAAAAGGTCTTCCTTTGCCGTTGGTTCACCCTCCAATGGCTGCCGCGGCCGGCGCGCTGTGACCAGCGCACCACGCTGATCCGAAGGCAGGAGCCAGGTGCTTTCTCCTGGTCTCCCATGGGGTGCAGGGCCCAAGCACTTGGGCCATCCTCCACTGCACTCCCTGGCCACAGCAGAGAGCTAGCCTGGAAGAGGGGCAACTGGGACAGAATCCGACCCCCCGACTGGGACTAGAACCTGGTGTGCCGGCGCCGCAGGCAGAGGATTAGCCTATAAAGCTGTGGTGCTGGCAGAAAAATATCATTTGTAATCCCGCCACTTAAAAACAGCCACTATTAACACTTGGCACTTAGTAACATTTTGCAAGTTCATGAATATATAAATATATTCCCTTATGATGGTCTTTACATTTTCTTTTTAAATCTTTAATTATACCTTACATGTAAAAACCTGCAGAGAATTTTCAGTAAATCTTAGGAAATAATTGTGATTATCTCTTCAAAACAACTTCATTCAAGATCAATAATTAAGAAAAAATAAGCTTTTAATTTAAAGTATACTTTTTAAATTTAAGAGGCTGGGAGAAGGAGAGAGAGTGACAGACAGAGAGCTTTCCCATCCACTTTTTCACTCCCCAAATGGTAGTAGGGTGGAGGCTAGGGCAAACCAGGGATGGGGAACTGAGTACAGGTATCCCGTGTGGGTGAACTACCACCTGCTGCTTCCCAGGGTGTACACTGGCAGGAACTTAATCTGGAGTGGAACTGAGAGGTGAACCTAGGCATTCCATCTGAGATGAAATGTAAGCATCTAATGGTAGTAATTCCTTTATGCTCAATTATCTTCAGTTGTTACAACTGTTAGGCAGGTCTGAAAAATTTTAATACTTTGATAATTATTGGTTCATTACCCTGAAGAAAGTTTCTATCAATTAATTCTTCTGACATCCATTTCAAAATTTATTTCTTTTAAAATATTTTGTTTTTAAAAGGATTTCCTAAAATGAATATAAAAATCATTAAATGTTTTTAATATCAATGTACTAGTGCCTTTTTTTTGAATTTTTTATCTTCTTAATGAAATACAAAAGATATAAATATTATTTTCTGGAACTGTTTTTTTTAAAAGATTTGTTTTATTTATTTGAAAGACAGTTACAGAGAGAGGTAGAGACAGAGGGAGAAGAGAGGTCTTCCATCCACTGGTTCACTCCTCAAATGGCCGATCCGAATCCTGGAACCAGGAGCTTCCTCTTGGTCTCAGTCTCCCATGCAGGTGCAGGGGCCCAAGGACTTGGGCCATCTTCGACTGCTTCCCCAGGCCATAGCAGAGAGCTGGATAGAAAGAGGAGCAGAAGGGACTAGAACCAGCGCCCATATGGGATGCTGGTACTTCAGGCCAGGGCTTTAACCCGCTGCACCACGGCACCGGACCTTGGAACTGTTCTTAAATAATAGTATATACTGGGGCTGGCGTTGTGGCACAGCGGGTTAACACCCTTGCTCCCGCATCCCATATGGTCAGTGGTTCGAGACCTGGCTGCTACACTTCCGATCCAGCTCTCTGCTGTAGCCTATGAAAGCAGTAGAAGATGGCCCAAGTCCTTGGGCCCCTTCGCCAGCATGGGAGACCCCAAGAAGCTCCTGGCTCCTGAATTCAGGTGGCTGCAGCTCCAGCAGTTGCAGCCAATTGGGAAGTGAACCAGCGGGTGGAAGACCTCTCTCTCTCTCTCAACCTCTCCTCTCTCTGTGTAACTCTTTCAAATAAATAAATAAATCTTTTTTTTTTTTTTAAAGAATAGTATATACTGTGTGTTGATTATAATATTTCTTTTTTAAAATTATATTTTAAAATGTTTTATAGTATTGCTACATATACAGTAATTCTGAGTTTCTTTAAAATACATGTTTATGTTTTTAGGTTTATAATATCTTTTTAAAAATTAACACCCAGAAAGAAATATATATTATCTTCTTTGATCCCTCCTCCAAAAATCTAACTTGAATATTTAATTAATCTGTTAACTGTAAACCAGTTAGGTAAGGATCAAAGTGTATTTTTTAAGTCTTTCATAGAAATGTAAATTCAATAATTTGTTTAACAAAAACATGCATCAAATACTGAATAGTGACAAATTGATTTTGAACACTCTGTGTTCAGTGTGGATTGAAAGCTCTGAGCCATATACACATAGAACCAAAAACATTTGTTTTCCTTTTTCCCGTACAAGCTTATATTTTAATAGTTCTGAAGTTGCAGACATTTCTATTTTATCACTTGAAAAGTTCCGTTATATAAATTAGTGAATGCTTACTTATATATGTTTTGAAATTAAATGTCACATGTTCCTTTGAAAAATATTTCCATAGTTTTTGTCTCCTCTACTGGTAGCTGTTCATCTTCTAAAATTAATGAAATGCTTGTAATAATATGGTTTTCTGACTAAATTCATGCTGTTGCTTTTTCCCCTGTTTTTTGTTTTCTTTTTGCATGAGACTACTTCTACATGTAGTAGTTTAATATACAATACTAAAGTTGATATCTGTATATCATAGGTATGTATGAAAATTAATGTATTTGAATGTTAAAAACTACGTAAACTAAGAATATTTTTATACATTAAAGTGAAAATTGATGTGCACATCATTGAGTTTAAGTATCTTAACTTTCTTTGTAACAAATAAAATCGTTGATATTTTATTTTAAGGGGGAAAATTTCAGTATTTTACCATGTTAAACATTGGACACTTTGAACGAATATGTTGTTTATAGTTCTTTGAGAAATTATGGAATATGTACTCTATAGAATACTACACAGCAGTAAAAAAAATGAAATCCGGTCATTTACAAGCAAATGGAGGAACCTGGAAAACATATGCTGAGTGAAATAAGCCAGTCCCAAAGGGACAAATATCATATGTTCTCCCTGATTGGTGACAACTAACCGAACACCAAAAAGGAAACCTGTTGAAGTGAAATGGACACTATGAGAAACAATGACTTGATCAGCCCTTGTCCTGTTGAGGAACAACTTACTACTTTATTCCTTTTAGTATTTTTTTGTTCTACTTAATACCATTGGTTGAACTCTTTAATTAACACATAATTATTCCTAGGTGTTTAAATTTAACTGAAAAGTCATCCCTGTGAAATATAAGAGTGGGAATAAGAGAGGGAGGAGATATACAGTTTGGCACATGCGTAATTGGACTTACCCCTAATGGTAGAGTTAGAAGCGTGCCAGGGGATTCAAATTCAATCCCATCAAAGTGGCATGTACCAATGCCAACTCACTAGCCAAAGTGGTCAGTTTCAGTTCATAATTGATCATAATGATAGGATTAAGAGTCAAAGGGATCACACAAACAAGACTAGTGTCTGCCAATACTAAGTGATAGAATAAAAAAGGGAGAGAACAATTCATCATGGGAAGCGGGATACACAGCAGACTCATAGAATGGCAGATGCCCTAAACAGCTTTGGGATTTAGTATCTGTATGATGTTGGAAAATCTAACTAACTTCTTTGTGCCTCAGGATCCTCATTTTGAAATGAGGAAAAATACTTTTTCAGCCCAGGTATGTTCTGATGATTATAAATAAAAATATGTGTGTTCAAGGTATGTGTCACCAAAATTTTTGGCTCATGAGAAATACTTGTGAAATGTTACTGTATTTTTATATGAGAGTGATAACTAATAATGCTTTTGATTATCACATTAATTTAAGAAGCTTTGTCTTTAATATTCCATTTTAGGTTGTTCAATATACAGAACAAAACAATTCATTTCATTCAATACAATTTTATTGTGTGGCTACTTCTTACTAGGAAATGCATCAAAAATATGTCAAAATTCTAGTGAGGAGGTATGTTACAAAGAGAGTAGCTTTCATATGTTTGTGATAAATCATAAGCAAAAGATACTCTGGAATGAAAGAGGAACATTTAGCCCATCTTGCAAATTGGACAAAAAATTCTATGTGAGATGGTATCTGAGAGGAGTCATGAAGATGAACTATTATCAGATGAAAGAAGAGAGTATCAGATAGGGAAATCTGCAGCAGTAGATTTAAAGAAATAATTGGGAGGTTAATTTGCCACCTGCTTAATCCCAAATCAGAATGCCGGTTCAAGTTCTGGCTACCCTGCTACAAATCCAGTGTCTTGCTAATGCACCTGAGAAGGCAGCAGAAGATGGCACAAGTCCTGGGACCACTGCCACTCATTTTGGAGGCCAAGGTGAAGTTCCTTGGCCCTGTCTTCAGCTTGGCCCACACCTGGTTCTAGTGGCCTTAGGGGAGTGAACCCAGTGAATGGAAAATCTTTAGTCCTCTCTTTCTTTCCCTATTTCTCAGTTGCTCTTTTTTTCAAATAAATCTTTAAAAAAATGAAGTATCTTCAAAAGTACAGTGGACAGTTAATTCCGTGTGATTAAGCATTAGTATGTCAGGAAGAAGCAAAGGATGAAACTGAAGTGTTGAAGATGTCAACAAGGGACTTTTATGTTTTGCTAGGGACTTTTTTCCCTTTTATTTTCTCCCTTAAAATAATTGATGGTGTTTAACATATCAATTTGATATACAGAATTTGTTGTAAACTCAGGGTACAGGATGCACTATTCAAATAAACTAATGTAAAACAATTCCAGTATTCAGATATAGTGGCATATGTACAATGAAATATTAAAGTACCCTGTAAAACACTTTTAGAACTGATTTTGGAGACAATCAAATTTATATGATTCTTCTTGGAAAGATACTTGGATTTGGCTTTGGGAAGGAGAGAAGTAAGGAGAGCATAAAGATTAAAGAACACTGGGGCTGGGGCTGGCTGGCGCTGTGTAGTAGTGGGTAAAGCTGCCGCCTGTATTGCCAGCATGCCATATGGGTGCTGGTTCAAGTCCCGACCCAGCTGCTCCACTTCCCATCCAGCTCTCTGCTATTGCCTGGGAAAGCAGTAGAAGATGGCCCAAGTACCTGGACCCCTACACGCTCGTGGGAGACCCGGAAGAAACACCTGGCTCCTGGCTTTGGATCAGTGCAGCTCCGGCTGTCGCGGCCAGTTGGGGAGTGAACCAGCAGATGGAAGACCTCTCTCTCTCTCTCTGTGCCTCTCCTTCTCTCTCTGTATAACTCACACTTTCAAATAAATAAATAAATAAATATTTTTAAAAATATTAAAGAACACAAATTAAAGTACTCAGTACCATTGATCAAGCTCTGTGCTTAGTTCTTTAGCACAAGACATCTACATAATTATGACAACATAGACCTGATTAGAATTTCTAAATCATATCTACATTTAATATGTCTATTCAATATAAGTATCTGTTAAAAAGGAAGCTGACAGTCTAGAGAGATTAAGTATTTGTATAGAGTTAAAAATGTTCAATAGATATGAAGTGGGAATATAAATCAAATTTCACTTGATTCCAATGATATAGATGGAAACCACTAGTGTGTATTTCTCCTGCTTCCTTTATTTCTTCCTCAGTGGCACAGTAATAGTTCAGTTGTCTCCCGTCCCCTAGGAGAGGATCACAGTTGTTCTGAGTAAATTGTTACCCTGTCATTTCCCATACCAGTACTTGGTTCAGTCACAAAAATGGGATAGAATTTTGATCAATGAAAGGGGAAGTCTGATGCCTTTAAAAGAAAGATTTCCTCATAATGAAAAGAGATGGAGGCAGACAGCTTAAGTTGCAACTTGGGATACCCACGACTGCTTGGTATGGTCCTGTCTGCTTGGCTTCTGACCCAGCTCCTTTCTGATGGATACCCTGGGAGTTCATGGTGATGGCTTAAATACTTGGGTCCCTGGTACCCATGTAGATCTAGATTGAGTTCCTGGCTTCAGCCTTGGCCATTCCTTGCACTTGAGGGCATTTGGTGAGTACACCATCTCTTTCTGCTTTTGAATGAATTGAAAATAAATAGAATTAAAAAAAGAGATATACAGGGCACGTGGTCCTCATTTTTGTCTAAGCATCATCATGTCAGCATGTGACACCAGACACTGGCAACCTATCCTATGTCATGATGAAGACATCGATGATATCTCAGAAGAGGCAAAGTGGTTTCTCCATGATATTGTTTAGCCTCTGAACCAACCCTGGATATCTATGTAGATTTTCTATGTGCAAAAAATGAAAACATTTTTTTACAGCCACACTTAAAGCCAAATTCCTACTATCCCTAGACTTTCAGTTAAAACACATTGAATTAGTTGGTCAGCTTTATAAGTAACAAATTCATTGTGTTCTCCTCACTTTTAACTCCCTTTTTATGGTCATTAGGAAAAAATAGGTAAGTCTGAAAACTTACCTATAAATAAAAAAACCTGTAAGCATCTATTAGTGTCAGAGAATACAGATCTGAAAGAGAGGTGACAATGGAGATTGCTGAAGACTGTTAGGCTCATAAGGAAAACAGTTATAAATTCTCAAATTGTTTTATACAGATAATAATTTCATATGGTTTAAATTTGTCCTAAATTTTGTAATAGTTGCAAGAGAAATAATAAAACTAAGTGGCTCTTCCTTTGGATACCTTTAAGTGTTTATTACTCCCTGAATACTACATTTGACTTTTAGGTTAGCTATGTGGTTAGACTGGAAAGTTTATGTTCCAAAAAGTTTTCACTTTGGACATTTAGTAAGGAATATTAATTAGCTTTTAGTGAATAGACATGCTGTTTGGAGGTCTAAGACAAATGGCGGCATAAAATGCTTTAAGAAGAAATAAAAGAGATTAAAACTGAAGTGGCATCTATATACTTGCTACACTTCTCATATTACATCGAACATCACTGTTTGCAGGCACAAACATTTTAGGTAATAGAAGGAAGATTAACTCTTTCTTCTCTTTTTAAAATGCTTCTTTTCTTTTTTTGTAAAGATTTTATTTATTTGAGATGTAAAGTTAAAGTGACAGTGAGAGGGAGAGGCAGAGAGAAAGGTCTTCCTTCTGTTGGTTCACTCCCCAAAAGGCCGCAACGGCTGGATCTGTGCCAATCTGAAGCCAGGAGCCAGGTGCTTCCTCCTAGTCTCCCATGCAGGTGCAGGGGCCCAAGCACTTGGGCCATCCTCCACTGCTTTCCCAGGGCATAGCAGAAAGCCGGATTGGAAGAGGAGCAGCTGGGACTAGAACTCAGTGCCCATTTGGGATGGATGCCGGCTCTGCAGGCGGAGGATTAACCCACTGTGCCGTGGCGCAGCCCCTAAAATGCTTATTTTCTTGAACCCCTTCCATAAACAAGACATTAGGCAAATCACTTATATGTAAATTGTTGAATTACATTTTTGAGGTGATATTTTTTCTTGGTATTTTGTTATAATTTTTTTTTTGACAGGAAGTTAGAGAGAGAGAGAGACAGAGAGAAAGGTCTTCCTTCCATTGGTTCACCCCCCAAATGGCCGCTAAGGCTGGCATCCAAAGCCAGCAGCCAGGTGCTTGCTCCTGGTCTCCCATGCGGGTGCAGGGCCCAAGCACTTGGGCCTTCCTGGGCCACAGCAGAGAGCTGGACTGGAAGAGGAGCAACCGGGACTAGATCCCGTGGTACTGGCGCCGCAGGCAGAGGATTAGCCAAGTGAGCTGTGGCGCCGGCCTGTTATTATAATTTTAATAACCATAAATCATGTAGTTATAAAAAAAAGCATCCTTTAACATTCCTGGTCATTCCACATGTAGATGGAAACTTTTTTTATTCAGTTTTTTATTTATTAATGTGAATTTGAACTAAAAAGTACTGTTATTTTTCAAATATTTTTCCAAATAGTCATTTTATTACTGGAATATAGTTTGAAACATTATATTGTGTAACAAATATCCCACTTAAATGTTGGAAATTGTACTATTTTAAGCATTTTAGTCAGGTAAGTATAATATACAACTTTGTTCATGCCCTAGATTATTCTACCTATTGACAAATATGTTGTCTCTTATTTAAGGAATTTCATAGTCTGATAACTCATTTTGTTGCAACTATACCATTATGCTTATTTGTAGTTTAATTTTTTATCTTTTTAATTTTTTCAATTTTTAATAAAATTGTATTGCTTTACTATTTTAACCAATCCTATTTAAGACTTGAGGTAGTGAGATGTGAGGTGGTCTGCAGAATGTTTTAAAAGATTAACCTCCAGGTAGACTTCTGCTTTCTTCTCCACTTTGTCTAACCAGTTTATTACCTCTGTTGTTTACACAAACATGTAGACATCTGTACACTTTAGTTTTATTTATATTACACAACAGTCATATTAGAAATTACCCGAATTTATTGTTGAACTATTCCACTAGATGGAAGCGGTTATATGAAAAAAATAATCTTACCTATAGCTAAATGATGATGCTTTTATGTCATGTTTGGTAGATAAGTGTGCTGTAAGTAAATACACACACACATACACGCACACAAAATGAACAATTTAAGTTCACTTTACTCTCAATTGTATACACACAAATTGTGTGAATGTGTGTGTGTGAGCGTTTGAGAGTAAAGTGAACTTAAATTTATGTGGCATATTTTTTCAGGTCTAAAATATTCCTAATTCATAAATTCTATTATATGCTTATACTTTTTTTTAAGAAAAAAATTAATTTGAAAGGCAGTTACAGAGAGAGCGAGAGAGACAGAGATCTTCCAGATGTTGGTTCACCTGCCGAAATGCTGAAACAGTCAGGATTAGTGGAACTCCATCCAGGTCTCCCATGTGGTGGCACAGGCCTAACCACTTGGACCATCCTCTGCTGCTTTCCCAGGTGCATTAGAAAGGAACTGGATCTGAAGATTGCAGGCAGCAGTTTAATATGTTATGTCATAATGCTGGCACATGCTAATATACTTTTAAACAAAATCTTGGAACAATTGATTGTAAACTTCTTGTTAATTAAGCATGGAGAGTATTCTGAAGACCTAGAATTTAATAAACTGTTTCGATAAGGATCAGATATGGTCTAGTGAAAGCAAAATTCATATATGAAGCTGAATATGTGAAACCCAATTGTCTTTAAGCTCAGCATCCTCTTACATACCTGGTAAATTAACCAATGAGTGGAATCATTTACACTGCTGTTTCTGGATCACAAACTGTGTCAAACTCTGTGATAGATGCTTTCTATATAAGATTTAATTTGAATTTGAATGCCCTGCAGAAAGCAGAATTTAAATTCATATTTCTCTGACTCCAAAGCTTGCTGTTTTTCTTATTTTGATATTTATATTAGGAATAAGTAATAAACTATTTAAAGTAAGTTATTTATAGGTAATTTTAATAGCAATGATTCATGTAAAAAAAGTTAATTACTAATAGTATCTACAAAATTTAACCTTAATGTTATTAATACTTTAGTATCATTTATATTAGAAGGCATTCTTAAGAAAAGACATACCAAATGGAAATAAGTATCATAATAAAAGAAATTGTACAACATAATATGAAACCATGTAGTAAAAGGTAAATATTATTTCTATATTTGCTCTGAGATTTTAAAAAAATTCTAAGTTGTCTTAGTTGTCATACTCAAGTAACAAGGTTTTTAATTACTTAACATTTCCATAGGTACTGGAAAAATGCTGTGAGCAAAGTTCTATGTCAGATCTTCCCAATTTGTACATTGGTGGGAATTTCCTAGAATTAGAAATTTTTGGGAGAAGAAACTAGTATTTCAGTATTAATGGCAATATGTAACAAGACATAATGCAAAGCCAAGGGCATTAGGAAACAAAGAATTGTCACATTAATTCAAAACCTTATAGTTCTTGAGAAGTTCTGGGAAAACTCGGAAGTTCAGAAGTATCTGGTTATGGAATTCACAAATATGGGTTCCATGCACCATTTGAGAGATTAAATTTAAGGAGGCCATGGGATCTCTAATTGCAGTTCAGTTGTGTATGCTAACTTCATGATTATTTGCTGAAGTTTATAAAGAATTGTATGCCTTGAATGTTTGTCTTCTTTGTAAGCATTTGGCTGAGAAAGAAAAAAGTTAAACTTTCTCTGGAATAATTGACCCACAAAATTTGACCCATAAGTTACAACACAGAGCATAAACCCATAAATAATTTACTCTTATTAGTTTGTCCTTATATATTAACTGGTCAGTTTTATGAAATGAAAGTCAACCAAAACTGATTACAGTATAATAGTAATATGTTTGGTCTACAATTTTATTTTACTCTGTTTACTTGGTAATAAGTAGCTTGCTACTGTGTCATCAATGCTGTCATAAATAAAGGACCTTAAAAATATTATTCATATCAAGCAGGTTAGGTATAAATATGCTTGCATTAATTCATTTTGCTTCCAGTTCCCACACCCCAGTGCAAAAGTACCCAAATGACACCTGCATATATAGTGAGTTGGCTGTTTTATAGAAGAAAATAATTGACCTAGGGGTACCCACTGCTTTTATAGCAATCAGTAAAGAAGCCTCCTGTTTGTCCTAGAAAGAAGCATTACCGTATCTCTAAAGGTTTCTCACTGAAGACACAACTCTGCGAAATAGCTCAGATAAACAGACCTTGCACTCTTGGCACAGCTATCAAGATCTGTAAGTACACAAGAGACCACTTGAAAAAATTGCCTTACCCAACAGTACTTTCCAATTTTCTAACATTTTTCTGTTTGCAAGTTCTTATATATACAACCTGATTTTATCCTCACTTGGTGTTTAACACTCATTTGCTCTTTTCAAGTGTAAGAAACATTTAGACATTTAACAGATTTATCCTTCAATAAATGTTTTCAACTCTCTAAGAACATATATGTATTACCTCTCTTTTGGTTATAGTATAATTATAGAAAATCCACAATGCTACCAAAACTTTACATATATAGTTCTGTTTTTTTTTGTGTTCAGATATCAATATACTTGGCTAACACTAAGATGTGTTCTACTTGTACTCAGGTACTACTTCAGTAAATATCCACATTGTATTCCCTATTTAAATGGCTTGGAAGAGGATTGTACCATGAATCAGTCATAATGTATTACTAAATTATTATCAAACTTTATTGTGCATAAACACATCTAATGTATTCTTTAGAATTTTAGATTCCTGGGTTCAGCTACAAAACGAGATGCCTTTCTATAGGTTTGTGTTCAGATTATGCATTCACAATTTTCTTTAGGAGTTTGATGCATTTACAGTTAATATTTGTTAAAAGGTTGGATTTACTCCATCCCTCTCATTACTTTATTTATTCCATCTGTTCTTTGTTCATCCATAATCCCTTCTTTGGTATGAATGCAAAAATTTATATTCTGTTATATTTCATTTGCAGGCTTTTCCAGTGTACCTTTTTGCATTGTTTTTAATAGCCACTCTAGAGGTTAAAATATGTATCTTCAGGTAAATCCCATGTAAATTATCTGTAAATTCTCTTCAGTGAATTACACCTAGAGTGCTAAAATCTTTGTTACTTATTTTTAAAAGAAATTTACCTAAATGAGGATATGCTCAGGAAAAATACACATATGATTTTGGAGGGGGTAATGGATTTCTGGAGGTAAGAAATAGCTGCCTATCACTCATTTTAACTTCACTCTAACCTTTGAGTAACCTGTACTACTTTGATGGGACTGGAATTCAGGGCAGTTGAAGCAGTAAGTTTTGGCCAATTAGGAGCATGAAATTAAATTAATTATTATTTGGAAAAATAGTGTAAAGCAATTAAATGGACTAAGAGATAGCCTCTGTGTGGGCTAATGACCAACATAACCAATATACATTTATCTAGGACAGTTGTGGAACTGGATATTTAATAGGTGGAAGTTTCTAAGGAATCCATGTACACAGATGCTTAGCAACTGGTGCTGTTTTCCACTAGCAGTAAATTTTTTTCTTAGTATTTATCTTTACTCTTACACTTGTTTGTGCATCAGAATTTTTTTCTCTTCATGCCTGAGATCTTTCATGACATAACTTTGGCCACATTTGGAAAAAAATCAGGAACTTCAAAAATTCAAAAACACCATATTAAACACCATAAAGCAAGTTACTTTTGGCTGTTCCTCTAAAGGTCATGTAATACTTTGTGTTTTCTCCAACATGACACAGCATGACAGAACAAAGTAGTTATCTTTTGTACTTGTCAGCATTGTTCTATCGACTTCAAATGATGAAATGCTTCTGAGCATGCTGTTGCTTTTTCCTTCGGGGGCTTGTGCTGATTTCTTTAAAGTATTATGTATATCAAATAAATCATTCATTTATTATTCCTGACACTGAATTTGGTAAGAAAAAGTATCTGTACTTCACTTCAAAATTGCATTTGGATGCTCTTTACTTTTGAAGTAATGAAAATGCAGTTCATTTATATTTTTTGTCTTCAAGTTACCATTTTTTTCTTAATTCCTGTGTTTGCCAAGAAAACACTGTCTCTGGATGTTGTGGAGGACAAAGTTTTAGATAGTCAAAGAAGTAAACTTTAACTTTTAATAAAGATTTTAATGAAAAACCTCAAGTCGTGGTCATACTTTGATTTGATAACTGTTAATATGACAAAACTTGCATTTGAGTGATAGCAGCTGATAGAACAGAAAAACCAATCTCTTAAGTGGTTTATTTCCCACTGCATAATGGTTTGGTGCAGATGTTTTTGGTTGAACTGCTGCCAGATGGGGGAAAGAAGAATGGAAAGTTGCATATGGGAAGTTTCTCAGAAGCTAAACCTGAAAGTGGCATACATTGTTTTTGCCCATATTCTCTTGGCTAGGACTTAAGTTATTGACATTCACAGCTCTAAGAGAAATATGTTCAAGATATGTGCTTAGAAGTGGGTTTGCAATTAAGGAAACTTAACTGGGGTCTTTGTCATAGTGGAGGGAGATTTTTTATTTGAGCAAGGTCAGCTTTGAGGTAAAAATTAATGAGTGATTATAACCCTGAGCAAATTAGTAATCTTCTGTTGACCATGGTATACTACTACAATATACAATATGACTTTTACCTACCTCATGAGTTTTATAAAGATTAAAAAATAGAATGCATATAAAATGCCCAGCACAATTCATGGAAAAGTTTAAACACTTAAAAATGTTAGTTTTAACCTTCACTGTCTAAGTAATATACTGCTTTATTCTGCGATCATCCGTAGGAAATAATTTAATTTGATATTAGCATAGTTCAACACCAAAGCACTTTTTAATTATTCATTTACTTTTATTTATTTTTAGTAATGTATTTATTTATTTGAAAGGCAGAGTTACAAAGATAGGGAGAGATCAAGAGATATTCCATGCTTTGGTTCACTCCCCCAATGGCCTCAATGGCCATGGCTGGGTTAAGCCGAAGCCAGGAGTTTCATCCACGTCTCCCATGTGAGTGCAGGTGCCCAAGTACTTGGGCCATCTTCTGTTGATTTCCCAGACACGATAGAATGCTGGATAGGAAGAAGATCTTCCAGGACACGAAATGGTGCCCTTGTGGGATGCTAGTGTCACAGGTGATGATTTAACCTGTTACACCACAATGCTGTCCCCATAGGGCAGTTTTTTAAGAAAGGAATTATTTTATGAATAATAAACCATGGATGTTCAGAAAATTGTGCATTTTAGCAGTTGTTTAATATAAATAAATATAAATAAATATTTACTCAGTAGACATAACTTTTGGGGCAGATAGAACACAAATTCAACACATTTTTTTCCCAGGCAGCAGCTGTTAATTTTGAAGGTTTTAATCATTTTGCATCACAGTTGAATTTGGAGAGGAAATAAATGGCAAACTTCAATACAGATATACAATATACATATATACAAATGCAATATACACATGCCTATATACAAGTATGTGTATATGTAACTATATAATCCAGGGAAGGAGAGGAGAGGAAAACTCCTTACTTTTCTGTAAGTTCTATCCTATGGTAATGTTTCCCTCTTGTTAACCTGAATATTTCCATATCTTGGTTATTCAAGTCATTTTAAATCTAATATAATTTCAGTTATACATTCATAAAGAAATGTGTCCTGCATACTTTAATAGCATGGGACTTCCAGTGTAAATAATCCATGAGAATCTACATTTAGAAAAAGTACAACTTTTCATTAATTAACAGAAAGCATGATTTATATGCCACTTGTCTTTGCACATAAAATAATCTTAAAGAGAAAAAAGAACATCAAAACTAAGTGTAATATATGAAATTATGCTTTTAAGACAGTAAAATTCAGATTTCTGCTTGCTTTTCAGAGTTCCAATGTCCTTGGCAGCAAGTAAATTTAGTTATTTCAGTTGTAGGTTTAGATTTTAAAAGTTTTCTCTAGCGTGAGTCATAAAATAATTAATTGAAGAATTTTCTCTTTGTATTGAAATATAATAAAATCTCACAATCACCAAACCTCTGGAGTACTGGAGTAAAAATTCTTGCTACAGAAACTTACATGCACACTTAAAACCCAAAATTCTGGAAATATTCTAATTTTACAACAACCAAAGAAATATGTGGTTAGGAGTTTTCCTCTCTTTCATTCCAGTCCTTTTTTCCCCTGGCTTTGTTAGGTAGATTTTCAGCTATTGTTTAAGTTATCCAGTGTCTTCAGTAATTTCTGTCTAATCAGTTGATGAGTATTTACTTGGATCAGGTGCTGACTTTGCAGTATCATCAGTTCACATTCGAATTCAGTTATACGTTTCCCAAGGCCTACGTTATGCCAGCAAACAGACAAATCACACATCTCAAGATGTCAGTGTAAAGTCAACAGAGAGGATGAGGGCAACATTCCTTTCATGCTAGGATTGGCTGTGACTGGAGAAGGGGAATGTATTCATGCTGCTTTTGTCTACTTTATGTCATTAGATGTGTGGTCATGTATCTTTGTCTCTGTCACTGCCACTGCTGCTACTGGTGGTACCTTCTGTGTACAAATTCACAAAGACAGTGGTGTGTCAGGCTGTTTGTACAGAACAGAGAATCAGGGCACTCCCTTGATTATACCTATTAATATTCTTTTTATGTTTTCTTGATATTTACGAGTATCTACCTTTTTCTCATTTAAATAAAATTACCCTTTCAGGAAGAATAGAGTTCAGGTATTTCCTCTGAATATACCAGATGTAGTCCAAGGATTTTCTAGACCATTGGACAGTTTCTAACATTGGCAGATCTCCCTCTCTCTCTCTCTCCCTCTCTCCCTCTCTCACACACACACACATACACACACACACACACACCCCTTATTTCTACTTCTGTTGGTAGTAAATATAAGTTTAAATGAAGAAATTTTGATCTTTAAACTGTATGAGTGGACAGAATATTATTGTGTAAATTGTCCTAAATTTTGGTTCAACATTTATGTTACCCACCATAAAGCAGATACTTTGTACAGCAAGGTTAGACAATGGAAACATTCTAAACATGCCTCTATTATGCGACAAAAGTTACTGTCCCCTTCTCCCCATCAACCTTAGAATACATTTTATTATTGATCCCTAGAAAGAAATAGTTGAGTCAACAAAATGAAGAAAAAATAATTAATTAAATGCTAGGACTTTTATAATAGCTCCGTGGTAGTCATTTATATGTTAATGTTTTACAATGACTAATTTAATTGGCAGATGGTAGTTCATATTACACTAAGAGAGTTGGGCATTTCCCTAGGCCAAATGATTTTGTACCCAGTTTTCAATTAAGGGAAGGCTGCCAATTATCTGCAGTGGGTTTTATTTTAATTACTGGGTGATTAGGACAGCTAGGTAACCAGCCCAAAGGAAGAAGAGCTCAACTGCGAGTGTGAATCCTTATTATGCAAACCTATAAAATAAATAAAGAAAACCCATGCAAAGAAATTGTTTTAGAGAAATGGTTGATAATTTACCTGTGGTGCTTCATATTGTTTTACTCATTTGATCAATAAAATGTAAGTTTAAAATACTAATCTGGCCATTTGTGAACTAGACATTGTTTCTGTAAGAAAAAACAAATTCAGAGGAAAGGAATTATATGTTAACAATCAGTGTACAACATGTCTTGTATTTCATGTGTTTTGAAATGCTGACATCTAAGAAGTCACTTCTGGAGTGACCTTTGTCATATGAAATGCGCTTGAGACTGATGGCAGAGAGCTGGCGTAAATAAATTCATGATGTTATTGTTGCCTACACCGTCCGATTTTTTAGCCATGATCCTTTTCTACATCGCCAGTTATCCTTTAAAATTTTCCATGTAACTGTCTAGCATCACTTTAACTTCACCAGATCTATACCAGCCCTGTTTACTCCTCAGCCTAGGTGCTTTCCCAGATTTCTGTGTTCTTGTGTTGTCCACAGGAACCACCAATTTGACTTTCCTTCAGACATGAATGGTTATAGTTATTGATTTTATGCTTCCATTCTTCTTTATTTGTCAGTCACTCTTTGAAAAATTCTTATACCAGCACCTTTATCTCCATTCAGTCTGTTGTTCTGATCTAGATTCTCACTGCTAAGCTACTACAATGGCCTTTACTAGCCAAATATTCTCATTTCTCCAAATTATCCTTAAATAATAAACAACAGGTTTTTATATGATTTCTTCCCTACTTAAGAAATATTCCACTGGCTGTTAAATTAAGTATAAAATATAGGGCCGGACGCTGTGGTGTAATGGTTAAAAGCTACCACCTGAGGTGCCAGCATCCCATATGGGCCCCAGTTCGAGTTCTGGCTGCTCCACTTCTGATCCAGTTCTCTAGTATGGCCTGGGAAAGCAGTAGAAGATGGCCCAAGTCCTTGGGCCCCTGCACCCATGTGGGAGACCCAGAAGAATCTCCTGGCTCCTCGCTTCAGATTGGCGCAGCTCTGGCCATTGTGGCCATCTGGGAAGTGAACCAGTGGATAGAGGACCTCTCTCTCTCTCTCTCTCTCTCTCTGCCTCTGCCTCTTTCTAACTCTGCTTTCACACACACACACACACACACACACACACACACTCTTAATTATAATCACGTGGAGAACTTTAAATTAAATAGTGTTACCGGGTGCTGTGCTGCTACATTCTGATTTATTGATTTACTTGGATCCACATGATCAGGATCTCCATGGATAGGGCCTTGAAGTGTATTTTTGTAGGAGTGCAGGAGATTCTGAGGTTCACCCAGCTTAGAGAAGCACTACCCCATACCCTTTTTCTTTCTTGTACTCTCAACTGATTACTGCTATGAATTGTTTTCCTAAGCTAACAAAAAATGGTTTATTCATAGATAGAATGAATAGAACCATAGAATTTATTAAACAAACTGATTGTAGAATTCTCAAATATCCAATGAATTACTGGAAACATTTAAATGCATTGTGATAAAATATTATTCCACTGCACTTTGGGAGATATTAGGAGTGAAATAGTATGATTACCAAGACTGAAGGTCTTGATGAGACTCCTGCCACTAGGAGGAATATATATTTAAGTCGAAATAATAAAAATTCAGAAAACACTGTTTTTGCAAGAGGAATGTATCTGAATTATATGGAGAGCCATTCAGAAATTCAGATAATTTTTTTTCTGCATTCTGCTTTGGCTGGCTATAGTATATTTTAAAAGACTTTAGGATTTAAATAGCTTAAATAAAATGGTAAATTCAAGTTGGGAAATGCTAAGTCACTCTTCAACAGTAAAGGATCAAGAGAATTTAATCTTCTGTCTTTGCTCCTTTCACTCTTGTATATTTTTATTTGAAAGATTGGAAGTTGAAAAAGGGATATGCAGGAAGTTGGGGATGGGTAGTATGCAATTTTATACTCACCCAAAATCCCAGGGTGCACATGGGCAAGCTCCTCTCCCCACATTCACAAATGTGCACACACTGAAAATTATGAAGACATTTTTCCCCTCTAGGATTAAAATATACATAAGGAATGGCTGAGTTAAATATATTAGGGAGGTGATAGAGCTTGGTATAGCCAGGGCAATATGGGTCCTATCCAAAAGGAGTTTGTATTTGTATTTGTGTGTATTAATTAGTTTTAAAATACATTTAGAAATACAAAATTTATGTAACCTTTATTCAACTCTAAGATGCTCTCAAATTATTCCATTTTTAACTCCACATGCAGGAAATAGAGCATATTTTCCAACTGAATTTGGCCATTAGCCTCCAGTTTTCAACTTGTTACATTGTGCTCTAAGATGTATAAATGTCAAGATGTTTTTCTTTCTTTAACAGATCTTGTAGTAATTTCTTGTTGTTATTTTAACAGATTGCTACTTTAGATGTGATGTGAGTGATATAGTAATATTTCTTTCATGAAATGGTGTGAGGATGTAGGACTCGCATATATCAAAATCAGATTGAAACCAGAGGTAGTTGGCTTTCCGATAACTTGCCCAGATGTTTATATCAATGTCAGAGATATTTAGATGAATGTTTATACATATTAACTGTCAGTATTATTTACATGCTTAGATAGATACACTGAAATATTCATTCCTATAATATTTAAGCAGCTTATATCTAAGTGAATGAATGAACAGAAAAATTTGGATTCAGATAGTACTCAGGTTAGATTGAATTTCATTTTGATAAACAAAAACAGTATTTAAAATAAAAATACTTACATATTTTTTATTAAGACAGATGCCTCAATATATTTTTAGAGTGCTAAATAAAGTATTATCTATGATTCAAAAACAGATTAAAGATACAGAACTAAAAATTAGGGAAATATACTTGTATTTATTTAAACCATTTTATGTTTTATCTAAGTAGTGTTATGAATTCAGCGTGAAAATAGACTTTTTTGAGAATTTATAGAGATTTATAAATTGAAGAAAGAGAAAATGAAGCCTGTGTGTAAAATGCTTATGTATGGCACTTTAAAAGATCTGTCACTAAGGTTATACAGAGACAAAATTTATTTATTAGTCTGCTTCATTGTATATGTATTAGGACAGGTTAAAAATGATTACAATGAATCAAAATTAATGTCATTGAAGTTTTGAGTTGGCAGGTGTCTCTTCAATATAGATGCCAGAGAGGTTTTACCGGGATCTGCTTTATATGTACTTTACCCAGTTAGGAAAGATGAGTGCATGTAGAATGTAAACTACAAGATATACATATTTTTTGACCAAGTGAACCAAAAACTAAGTATACTTTGTCTTTTCCGTTTCCAGATTGTTCCTTTCTTTCTAGTTTTCTATCTGAAAACTTTTCTCCCATCTTGAAGTATTTGCAGTGAAATAAGAAGTCCGTTAATTTTTTACAGGTATATGTCTCCTATAATGGGCAGCTGAATCTTGTGCGTCTAAGACATATGTATGAATTAAAAGGTTAATGTCTTTATTGCATTCATTGATTTTACACATAATTGTTAACCAAGATATAAAGTTTTCTCTGACAGTCTGAAAATTTGATGAGTACTATTTGATCATTACTGTAATGTGATAACATTATTCAATCAACATATAAAGGTATATCTAAGATTGTGTTAAAAAGTTTGATAACTGTTGGATGGCACATCAAACAATATATATAGAAATAACATTTTGTATAATTGCAAAAATTGTAAATTAAATCTCTGATTGATTTTGTTAGGAGAGGACTGAAAAATAAGAAATACAGTTGTATTAAAACACCATAAACAGCAAAAAATCTTTCACAGTTATCTTTGTAATCCATATGCTTAATAGACAGAAATGAAATCCTAACTTTCCAATTATGTTCTTGTATGACATTCATCTATGTAATTGAAGGGATCTTGATTTGGTAGGAAACATAATATATTCTGGAGCTGATCTTTCCTGAAGGCTGTAATTATGTGCCAGGGCTCATTTTAAGCATCAGTGGGGTTCTCACAAACGCTGTCAGGTGAGACAAAGCACGTGCTCTGTCAGGTAGATTTCTAGCATAACTAAGTATTTATTAACTGAACAGCTTTATATGCAGGAGGAAAGGAGATATGTTTGTCAATAGCATCTAAGAGACCAGATGGTTTGAGACAGATACTATGTTCTTTTAATTAGTTGCTAGTGAGGTTGAAAAATGCCCCTTTAATAGGCTCATAAAATAGTAGGTTTACAATTTAGGGCCATTTCTTTATTTCCCCTGAGGAAGAATGGGTACTAAAATGTATCAAGTTTAAACTATTCTGACACAAATAAGTGGTCTCATTCATGGAACTGTTTACAAACTCTGAGTCATACGGGAAAAAAAAATACATGGGGTGAAAAGAAGTAGGTTTTTATAACTGTTCTTACATATGAACACTACTATTTCTTTTTCATTTCACGAAATTTTTGAGGAGAAAAAAGTAGTCTTGACAAACTTGATGATGTTAAATAAGCATAGTAATAAGTAATGAAGAAGTTCCAACTCTTTTACCAGGAGCTATAATTGCTTCATTGAAGATAGTTGAAGTCATATCTGAAGTGCAGCCTGAAATACATCATCTCCCACAGTTCTTCCCATTCTTTTTTTTATTTTTTTTTATTTTTGACAGGCAGAGTGGACAGTGAGAGAGAGACAGAGAGAAAGGTCTTCCTTTGCCGTTGGTTCACCCTCCAATGGCCGCCGCTGCTGATCCGATGGCAGGAGCCAGGATCCAGGTGCTTTTCCTGGTCTCCCATGGGGTGCAGGGCCCAAGGACTTGGGCCATCCTCCACTGCACTCCCGGGCCACAGCAGAGAGCTGGCCTGGAAGAGGGGCAACCGGGACAGAATCCGGCGCCCCGACCGGGACTAGAACCTGGTGTGCCGGCGCCGCAAGGTGGAGGATTAGCCTATTGAGGCACGGCGCCGGCCTAGTTCTTCCCATTCTTAATTCTCAGTGTAAGTGCCAGAAATTGCAAATAACTTTTGAAGATTTTTGTGAGTTGTAGGTTAAGTTTTGGTTGGAAGCTTATAAATAAATCTTTCCATTGTGTCATATCTGCATTTACTGCATTGTAAAGTTAATTAAGCAATAGCTGGGCATTTCATAGGGATTAATGACTAACAGGGAGGAGTAGATGGCTTAAGGTACAGCCAAGGGTCATTAACATCTGCTGGCCATTAATTCCCAGAAAATGCCTAGCATTGAAGTCATTATTGCTATTATGAACTGAAAATGGAAACGAACTATAGGCATATGGATTTTTTTAAGGATGATGCAATTTTAATTGATATGTATAAGGTAATCATGGAGAACTTAATTCTTGTACACTAGCCAATCATGTTGCTGGTCTCATCTCTCATGGTTCCATTTGGGTTATAATTAAGCAGTAACTGTTGTAGAACTGGGCATTTCCTGGGGGTTAATGAATAGCTGGGCGGAGTTAATTGTCTAAAGTATAGTTTCAGGCCATTAACCTCAGTTGGTCACTAATCTTTAGGAATTTCATTTAACTGAAGTCAACTTTTTTGTAGTAAGAGGAAAAATATATTCAGTTGTTTCAATATTAGTCTTAGGGCATTTTTCTTTTCTTGAAATGTATCCAATAATGAAAAAGATCTACAGAGTCTTTCTGTATGTCCATTTCAGAGCTCCCTTGTTTTGCATATACTTGTAAACACCCAATAGATAGACCACATAAAAAGGGTGCAGAAAATAGTGCTTATTTGATGAGAGGGTCTGTCTGGTTCAAGTGATAAAATCAACACATGGAAGCATGGATTTCCTTGAGTTTGTCAGTCTGTATATTTGATACAATTATATATGTCTTGACGTTTATCTTTTTAAAAATCACATTATTAAAAATCATTGTTGGGGCCAGTGCTGCACCTGCAGTGCTGGCATTCCATTCAGGCGCCAGTTCGAGTCCTGCCTGCTCCACTTCTGATCCAGCTCTCTGCTATGGCCTGGAATTGCAATGGAAGATGGCCCAAGTGCTTGGATCCCTGCACCTATGTGGGAGACCTGGAAGAAGCTCTTGGCTCCTTGCTTTGGATTGGTCCCACTCCAGCCGTTGTGGCCCTTTGGTGAATGAACCAGTGGATGCAAGACACTTTCTGTGGGGAGCAACTTGGACTAGACTGTTACTGGAATTAAGACTTATTCTATGCATCTGCTCTCCCACAGTATGGTGCTGGGAGAGGAGTAAACAGCTTCTGCGCAGCTGCCTCTCACTAACTTGAGTGATGACCTGCAGGAGCTGATCCTGCTCCTGATTGGAGGAGAGCAGCGTACTCGGCGTGTGGGTAGCAAAGTTGGGATTGGTGGAAGAGGACTATAAAGGAGGAGAGAGACAACATGCACCAGGAACATCTAAAGGGAACACCTGAGCAGCCCCCGAGAGAGCCTGCCGGCAGTGTGCCGCTCCCCCGCGGAAGTGGGGAAAGTGGCAGGGGGAACCGCCCTTCCACGGAGGTGGAAGGGATGGTAGCCAACCCGGGAAGAACCAGCAGCAAACCCGGGGAGGGCTGAGCAGACAAAAGAACAGCGCAGGGTCCTGTGTCGTTCCTCCACAAAGACGGGGAGCAACAACTTTCTCTCTCTCTCTCTCCCCTCTCTGTGCCTCTCTGTAATTATGCCTTTCAAATAAATAAATTTTTAAAAAAATCATGGTTGACCTGGAAAAACTGCCTTTGTTCTCTATCAATTATCTATATATAATATTTCCATTCAATACATTAGGAGACTTCAAAAAGTCATTGGAACCGAGTCTGAAGCCAGGAGCTGCTTCTTCTGGGTCTTCTACGGGGGTGCAGGGGACCACTGCCTTCCTAGGCCGTTAGCAGAGAGCTGGGTTGGAAGATGGACAGCCAGAACATGGACCAGTGACCATATGGGATGCCAACACTGCAGGTGGTGGCTTTACTCGCTACACCACAGTGCCCTGATCCACAGGTGGAGGCTTAGCCTACTAAGTTCACCACAGCGCTGGTCCCTGTCGTGCTGTTTTCTAATACATTTAAGTCAATACCTGTTTATAAAATCTGCCCTAACATAAGCAGCCAATTTTCTTCCTTTCTATGCATTATGATTCTTGGGGTACTACTAACGTTTTGTTCTTAATTTGGATGTCATAAATATGATTATTGGGCAAAAAATGCATCTGTACACTTAGGTGCATTTCTTGAAATGTATACCTTATTTCAATAAAATGTTTGAAATATTATTAAAGAATTAATTTAGTGACCATATCCCAGGTAGTTCTATAATACATTTCCAAAGCATTCAGTAAAATTAATTTTTTTAGGGAACATCAAATTCTCTATGTAGTATTCTGATCTGTTTCTTTGCAAGTCATTTTAGCATTCAACATGTTGTCTTTGTTTAGACATCTGCATTTCAATGAGGACATAGATCATATTGTTTTGGTGTGCTACTTTCGACCTCCTATCCAATTTCTTATTTTACCTTAATAAATTGCATAGTTTTTTCTCAGTTTCATATTTATTTTTATAAGATCTGTTTTTGGATTGCACAATATTTACATTAGCTTTGCTTTCTGCTATTGAATCTCCAGTGTCCATTTTGTCTCAGCTTATAAGAAAATGACACCTTATAAGAGATTGCAACTAATATCATAAGAATTTGCTAAAACTCCCTTTATATGTAATATTTGTTTACCACAAAAAAAATGTGTTCTTATGACAGAGATAGAATTCAAGAACACTGTGAAATGGAGACCAGCATCATTAAATTTATGTAATCTAGATCTATTTATTCTAGGGAATGTTGGTAATCTTGAATGTTCATATTGCTAAGATGACAAAAGAAATAAATTATTGCACCTAAAATCATATATTGAAAGAAATAATAGAAACTGAGGAATGTTTTCCAAAATTGGTAGATTCTAAATAGCAGGAACAAAAATAAGTTTCTATATTTTAATTTCAAAAGAGAAAAATTCTGTTTTTTAAGAATCTCCATAATGTTTTCCACAGTGTCTGTACTAATTTACATTTCCAGCCACAGTATATAAGAGTTGCCTTTCTCCACATCATTGTGAGCATTTGTTACTTTCTGTCTTTTGGATAATAGGCATTCTGACAATGCTGAAGTGATACCTCATTGTGGTTTTGATTTGTGTTTCCTGACGGCTAGTGAGATTGAGCATCTTTTCATATATTTTTTGGCCATTTTGCATTTCATCTTTTGATAACTGTCCATTGAGCTCCTTTGCCCATATAACTGGATTGGCTAAATTTTTGTTGCTGGGTTTTTTTAATTGCTGATTTTTTCTGGATATTAATCATTTGTTGGGTAGGTAGCTTGCAAATATTTTCCCTTTTCTGTCGGATGTCTCTTCACTCTGGTAGTTGTTTTCTTTGCAGAAGCTTCCGAGTTTGATGTAATCCCATTTGTCTAGTTTTGCTTTTGTTGCTTGGGCTTTGGGGGTCTTTTTTATGAATTAGTCATCATATCAGTGTCTTGGAACATTTCCTCTAAATTTTTCTTCCAGCAACTTCATAGTGGCAGGTCTTAAATTTAGGGGATTGATCCATGTTGAGTTGATGTTTTGTATACAGTGAAAGATAGGGTTCTAATTCCATTCTTCTACATATAAACAATCAGCTTTCCTAGTACCATTTATTGAAGAGGTTATCTTTTCTCCAATATGTAGTCTGGACACTTTTGTCAAAACCCAGTTGAGCCGGCGCCGTGGCTCAATAGGCTAATCCTCTGCCTGCTGTGCCAGCACACCAGGTTCTAGTCCTGATCGGGGTGCTGGATTCTGTCCTGGTTACCCCTCTTCCAGGCCAGCTCTCTGCTGTGGTCCGGGAGTGCAGTGGAGGATGGCCCAAGTGCTTGGGCCCTGTACCCCATGGGAGACCAGGAGAAGCACCTGGTTCCTGGCTTCAGATCAGCACGGTGCGCCGGCTGTGGCGGCCATTAGGGGGTGAACCAACGGAAAAGGAAGACCTTTGTCTGTGTCTCTCTCTCTCTCACTGTCCACTCTGCTTGTCAAAAAATAAAAATAAAAAAAAAACAGTTGATAATATGTGCATATATTAATTTTGGGGCTCTCTGTTCTATTGATCAGAATTTGGGTTTTATGCCAGTATCATGCAGTTTTAATCACTATAGCTTTGTGATATGCTTTGAAGTCAAGTATTGTAATGACTCCAGGTTGATTTTTTTTTTCCTGTGGCTATTCTGGGTCTTTTGTGTTTCCATTTGAATTTCAGGATTTTATTCCTAATTCTTTAAAAAAATATGGTTTGTACTTTAACAGGTATTACATTGACTTTTTAAAAAAATATTTATTTATTTATTTGAAAGAGTTACACAGAGAGCGGAGAGGCAGAGAGAAAGAGAGAGAGAGAGAGAATCTTCCATTGGATGGTTCACTCCCCAATTGGCCTCAAAGGCTGGAGCTGCACCAATCCGAAGCCAGGAACCAGGAGCTTCTTCCAGGTCTCCCACATGGGTACAGGGGCCCAAGGACTTGGGCCATCTTGTACTGCTTTCCCAGGTCATAGCAGAGAGCTGAATCAGAAGTGGAGCAGCCGGGATTTGAACTGGCACCCATATGGGATGCTGGCACTTCAGGACAGGGTGTTAACCCACTGCACCACAGTGCTGGGCCATACATTGACTTTTTATATTGCTTTAGGTAGTATAAAAATTTTAAGGATATTAATTCTTCAATCCATGAGCAAGGAACTTGCCATTTGATTCATCAACCTCACTACTGGATATATACCCAAAAGACATGAACACATTATATCAAAGAGATACCTGCATCACCATATGTAGCAGTACTATTCACAAAAGCCAAAGTATGCAGTCTGCTAAGGTGTCCATTATCGATAAACAGGTAAAGAAAATAACATTGGAATATTATTAAGCTATAAAAAAGAATGAGATTCTACCATTTGCATCAAAATGGATGCAACCGGAGGACATCTTATTGAGTGAAATAAGCCAGACACAGACGACAATTACCACATATTCACACTTATTTTGGCAGTTAAAATTAAAAAAGAAAAAAGAAATAAAAAAAAAAACATAAAGAAGGGACTGTGTGCTGTGTCTGTAATGCTGCAGATGTACTTTTGTTAAACTCTGTTTTATGTAATTGTCAGATCAATGGTTAGCAATGCCATATCACTACAGTTTTAATCTCCAGTTATTTTAAAGTTTACTGGAGCCAGTGCTATGGTATAGCAGGTAAAACCGCCGCCCGCAGTGCCAGTATCCTATATGGGCGCTGGTTCAAGTTCCAACTGCTTGACTTCCCATCCAGCTCTCTGCTATGGCCTGGGAAAACAGTAGAAAATAGCCCAAGTCCTTGGGCCCCTGAGCCCAGCTGTTGTGGCCATTTGGAGAGTGAACCAGCAGATGAAAGACCTCTTTCTCTCTATAGCCTTTTGGGGAGTGAACCATCAGATGGAATACCTCTCTGACTCTGACTCTCTGTAACTCTGCTTTTCAAATAAATACATAAGTAAATATTTTTTAAAAAAAGTTTACTGTGTAAGAGTAAAATGGACATCTTTTCATTTGATTATTGTTTATATATTCCTGTTGAACTATAGTCTCCCTGCTTGTTGAACTCTTTAGTGAAGTGTTAACCCTTTGACTGTAATGAAAATTAAAAATGTTATCTCAAAATTTAAAAAAACAAGAAAGAAATAAATACAGAAAGATGGCGGGAAGGAAGGAAATAAAAGAAGAAAGGAAGAGGGATGGAAAATGGTGGAGGAAAGGAAGTATTATTCTTAGAATTGTGTCTATGAACTGCATTGAATCTATTCTCTTTGTATTAATATCATATTAACATGAAAATTGATAAGAATTATGTTGTAGTAATTACCATGCATTTTTTGTGGCACTGATAATCTAATGTATTAATAAATTCTTTGAAAAATAAATTTATTTTATTTTATTTATTTATTTGAGAGGTAGAGTTTCAAACAGTGAGAGGGAGAGACAGAGAGAAAGGTCTTCCTTCCATTGGTTTACTCCCCAAACGGCTGCAACTGCTGGATCTGTGCCAATCGAAAGCCAGGAGCCAGATGCTTCTTCCTGGTCTCCAATGAGGGTGCAGGGACCCAAGAGCTTGGGTCATCTTCTACTGCTTTTCCAGGCCATAGCAGAGAGCTGGATTGGAAGAGGAGCAGCCAGGACTAGAACCGCTACCCATATGGGATGCTGGCACCACAGGCACAGGATTAACCTGTCCCACGGCACTGGCCTTACATTCTATTAAATTAAAAAATAAAATTCTAGATGTTGAATCAGTGAAAGGCAGCTATTTACTTTTTTTATATAATCTTTAGAGAAATTTAAATTTTCTTCTGAAATTATTATCTGCCACGGTAGTTCTATTCCAATTACAGTGTTTTTCAAAGTCCACCCCCCCTTAAAGCAGTAGACACAATCATTAACCTCTGTGAAATGAGGTTTTTTGCTTTTCTGGTGCCAAAGAGAAAACGCAAGTTAAGCAACATGTTAATAATACATATAAGAAGAGGAATCTGTTGCTTTCAAGATGATGGGAATTGTGAGTTATATATTTTGTATTATTTCTAAACTTGATTCTATAAATGTAATCATCAATGAAAAACGTGATCATAGGAATCATAATTTAAAAAGTTTTATACATATTAGATTCTCTATCCATATAGATCAAGTTTCAGAAATACTTGAAAATAAAGTAAGTTGCAGACCTCACATGTTCTAGAGTTAAAACTCTGCAGACATATGCATCCTTTCTTTTGGCCATGATCATTCAGTTCAACTGATTAAATTATTGAGGCAGCCTCAACTAGATGTAAATATCTTTCATTTTTTAAAAAGATTTATTCATTTGAAAGGTAGAATTAGAGAGAGAGAATGAGAGAGAGAGAGAGAGAGAGAGAGAGAGAGAGATTTTCCATCTGCTTGTTCACTCCCCAAATGGCCTCAGGGGCTGGGTCTGGACCAGGCTGAAGCCAGAAGTTTCTTCAGGGTCTCCCAGGTGGATGCAGGGACCCAAGCACTTGGACCATCTTCTGCTGCTTTCCTGTGTGCCTTAGCAGGAAGCTGGATCGGAAGTGGAACAACTGAAACTTGAACCAGAGCCCATAGGGGATGCCGGCATTGTAGGCAGCTGCTTTACCCACTACACTGCAGCGCCATCCTGGATGTTAATATCTTTGAACACTGCCCTTTAAAAGTTGATTCTCTTACTTTTAAAAAGAGAAAAAGCAATGGCAGCAGCTGAGAAAGAAAAATAGAGGAAAACAAATTTAGAGTGATTCAGGACAATAATGTCATGCATAGATTTTTTTTAATAAATCACATTTTCTATACATTTTTTTGAAAATCCCTTGTCTAATTTATTTCAACATTCATTTTGAATTTTATCAAAAATCATTACCAACACTGTCAGTTAATAACAAGCATTCTAGGGGCTGGCACTGTGGCTCAGTGGGTTAACACCCTGGCCTGAAGCGCCGGCATCACATAGGAGCGCTGGTACAAGTCCCGGCTGCTCCTCTTCCCAAATCCTCTTCCACTGCTTTCCCATGCCACAGCAGAGAGCTGGATGGGAAGTGGAGCAGCTAGGACTCGAACAGGTTCCCATATGGGATGCTGGCACTGCAGGCGGCGGCTTTACCCACTACTCCACAACACTGGCCCCTATAAGTTATTTTTGGTAGGCCATAAATATTTCCAAGCATGAGTGAAGAAGCAATCAGATTGGATTAGTGGTTTAGAAAATCACTTGACCCAGGGGCTGGCACTGTGGCATGGTGGGTAAAGTCTGGGCCTGCAATTCTGGCATGTGCATATAGGCACCAGTTTGCGTCCCAGCTACTCTACTTCCTGTCTACTCCCTGCTTGTCGCCTGGGAAGGCAGTGGAAGCCCAAATGCTTGGACCACTACACCTGTGTGGGAGACCTGGAGGAGGCTTCTGGCTCCTGGCTTCAGATCAGCCCAGCTCTGTCCGTTGTTTCTATTTGGGGAGTGAACCAGCAGATGGAAGATCAGTCCCTCCCTGTCTCTGTGATGCAGTCTTTCAAATAAATGGATGTAAGTTTCAAGAAAAAAAAAACAAAAGAAAATCACTTGACCAACAATGTGGGCATTAGACCATTAGCTAAAGGGAGGAGTGTAATTAAAAGGCTACAGTAATTGTTCTGATAGAAGAGAGTAAGTAACTGACCTCATGGCAGTGAGGGTTAATAGGAGATTTAAGAACTCACAGCCTTTGGGGATTGATTCAGAAGTACAGGATGCACAAGCAGAAAGAGCTTGAAGGTGCTGCTAGGTGTCATCGTCAGGTGACTTTTACTGCACAGGCAAAGGAAGAGATCCCAGTGAGGAAAGAGTATAAATGGGAAATGGGTGGCGGGGAAAGCAAGAGTGATATTCACAAGCCAAGATAGAAGAAAAGGGGAGTCATCCAGTACCAAGTAACAGTAAAGTCAAGAACTGAAATTAGGGTTTGGTGATTTGGAGGTTATTGGTGAACTGAGAGCAGTACAGGTGTAATGGAAGGGTTAGAAGACAAATTTCAGAGCATTGATTTGGAGGCGAGCAACTTGGAGAAGTGAATGCAGATTACTTTTCTGATAAGATTGGCTGAAGGGATCAGAAGAAAGCACACATTCCGGAATGAAGTGAGAAACAAAGCTACTTCTTAGAGACACAAAGTACAAGCAATTCAAGGAAGACAGAAAATAGGTGAGGCAAAGTCATGATTTAAGACAAATTAACTCTAAATTCTGAATTCAATGAGAAACTGTAGGCCAAAGATGGTGCTTGGTATTTTAAATTGCTTGCTTGATGCCCCCTGTTTAATGCTATCATGGCAGTTGGCATTTGCTTCTTTGGTTCCTCTTCTAAACTCTATCATCTCTTTGGTGGCATATAATGCATATTTACGTACATTTACAGTTGCATTCCAAGCTCTTGGAATATTATTCCCATTTAGAAGTCATCAACATGTGCATTAAATTATAAAGAAGTGGATAGATGAATGCCTAACTCCTTTTGGGAATGTAGTGTATATTATTTTCTTCTCTAAAGTGCTTCAACTCTTTGTAGACTCATTTGAAATGTTAGTTTTCATTTGTCTCACCTCCCTATTTTAAATTTCCTTCCTGTAGAGGATAAGTTTACCAAAGTCAATTATATTTTCTGATCATAATTTTAAAGTACTTTTCCATGAGATAAAACATAAAAGTTATTTTTCATTTCTTCTAACCTTAAGGGAAATTGGAATTGGAAGGTATTTGGTATATAGAAATATTACAATATATAATTAGAGCATGTTTTATATTACTGTATTTCAGCTTTAAGCAGAATGTATAATGTTGTTATAATCGCTTGTTTCCCTCTCCCCAGTCAAAGCAAATCAAGTATTTCTGACATACTGCTGTCTTTATCATTGTAGAATCAGAGTTTTAAGACATATTTAGAGATAATATAATTTAGTTATCACTTCCAGTTTCATGCTTTTTGAAAAAACGCTTAAGAGTAATTATTGGCAAACATGAATAAAAGTGAAAATGCTAGAAGGAAAACCAAAGTAGAGAATTATTTTCTCTCTCTGTTATTGTTTTCATTATTTTCTGTTTTTAAAAATTATTTCTAATATAGCACAACTTAAAAGCTAATTTTAAGCCTTTTATAATATACCTCTTCCCAACTGTGAAAATGAAGTGTGAATTAGTACAAAAATAGTAAAACCTATAATTAAAAAAATCATTACTTTAAAGTAATATTGTCATCTTTCTGAAACCAAATCACTGCCCATGATGTGATTTTGATTGGTCCTAAACTGTCCCAGGCCCAGGGTCTCTACCATTCACTGCTTATGCTTCTCTCTGCCGTAAGATGACTCAATTCTCCCACCACTTTCAACATCCAAAATACTGCATGTGTTTTATAATGTATACTTCACCATCATTCAGCTTTCCCTTTGTTCTTTTGCTATGTGCCTCAGATCCTACAGTTTCCCTTTTCTCATAACCCATCACAGTAAAGAAAAGACTACATGATGCTAATGCAGGCTGTAGATGCAGTCTCTGAAGTGAGGGGCCAAACTTGATTCAGAGTTGTCATAATGTTGTTTTTATCAATGATCCAGATAATCTTGGAAATGGAAACTACAAAAAATATTCTTGATGAAAATTCATAGGCCTTCTTTTGTTGAGAAATATTGATTTTTTAGAATGTGTTGTTTCATCTGTATAATGTTCATGGTAATCTTAAAAGTATACTTTTAAAAAATATTTATTTATTTGAAAGGCAGAGTTATAGAGAGGCAGAGGCAGAGAGAGAGAGAGAGTGAGAGAGGTCTTCGATCTGCTGGTTCACTTCCTAAATGCTGGGCTGATCTGAAGCCAGGAGCCTGGAGCCTCTTCCAGGTCTCCCATGCGGGTACAGGGGCCCAAAGACTTGGGCCATCTTATGCTGCTTTCCCAGGCCACAGTAGTGAGTTGGATCAGAAATGCTGCAGCCGGGACATGAACCAGTGCCCATATGGGATGCTGGTACTGCAGGCGACGGCTTTGCCTACTATGCTACACCACTGGCCCCAGGAGTATACTTTTATTCTAATAAATATATCAAGGGTATCTTCATTTACCATAGATGTTTTAGCTTTATGTGTTCTATGTTTATTGTTATCTCTCATTCTCCCCTCATTTTTCCAAGTTACACACTCCCAATTAATTCATATTTCATTTTCATCACCTTATTGTCCCTCCTATTTTATTTATTTATTTACTTATTTTATTTACATTCTCTTCTGTTTCCTCACCATTTTCATAAAATTTTTGGACTGCCAAACTAGCTAGTGTGGAAATTTAGGGGACAGCCTTGCTCAAGGAGTAGTGTGGCTACTGGCATGTTATTGGACATCATGACTGCTAAGGACTGAGTGTGTGTTCTCAGCCCCAAATTCACATATTGAAAATCTAGTTATCAAGGTGATGATATTAAGAAGTATGCCTCTTGGGATGTGGTTAGGTTACAAGCATGGAAACCCAATGGATAGTGTTAATGCCCTGTGAAAGAAGCCCTGGAGAATTGCTTGTGCTGTGTACCATATGGGGATATAGTGAATAGATACCTTCTGCGAGAAAGTGGGTCCTCACCTCAAATTTGCAGGGCCTTAATCTTATACTTCCCAGCCTCCAGAGCTGTAAGAAATAAACTTGTTTATAAGCCTCCGATTTTATGTCATTTTGTGATACCAGCCTCAATACACATAATGTTCTTAAATAAAACCTTTTTTTTACCTTAACTTTTTAATAGCACAACAATACTATGAACATATTCAACTTGGAGCTTATGACAATTTCTTGCTGTCTACTTACTGCTATTCTCATCCACTTCCTATTTTAACTTTCTGATTAGTTCATGTTTATAATTTATTTAGTAGGTGTTCAATCTTCTCTTGTGTGCTAAGCACAAATGATTCCTTAGGCCTGATATAAATATATACCTTCCAGGAGTTTATATATCCAGCTGAGTAGTGGAGAAGTAAGTAAATTTTTTTAAAAAAGAGCATCTTATTCAAAAGGCAGAGTTGCACGGAGAGGAGAGTAAGAAACAAGAGATCTTCTGTTTGCTGGTTCAATCCCCAAATTGGCCACAACAGCTGTGGCTGGGCCAGACCAAGGCCAGGAGCCAGGAGCTTTTTCCTGGGTCTTCCATGTGGGTGCAGGGGTCCAAGCGCTTGGGCCATAAGAAGAAAATTTAGAATTAGGTTCTTACTATAGAGTCATGGGGGTACAGAGTAACTTTGTCTCTACAAAGAACAGAACGAACTAGATATGGAGGTGATCAGAGAGGGCTTCCAAGAGTAGGTAATATTGTTCATTGAGCTGAAGAAAGAACTACAGAAAAGAAGTACTTGCTGGAACTTCAATGACTAGAGTCTAAATGCTACTAAAATGGTCACTCTCTTTTATATCTCCTGCTTTCTGGCTCAAACATTGGGAAAGCGGACATGAAAAGCTGATGAAAATATCAGAAAAGCAGCACATAGATTTAAATAAGCATTTATTAATGTGAAAATATTGTTGGTTTCTGATATCCCTATGTTTGCCTCACAATTGCTATTGTATCTTTTATAGAATCTATTACACATATGCACGAAGTACTCATATGAAAGTGTGAGAAAATACTAGGAACTTGACATTTTTTATTTAATTGAAATTTAGTGCATATACAGGAAAATGCAGAAATCATTAATGTCCAGTCTATACATGTTTGTAGGCTGAACACTCTTGTTAATTAGTACCCAGGTCAAGCAACAGAATACTCATGCTTCTCCAGGAACAATTGAAGTGTTTAAGAAACAAGCTGACAAGATTAGATTCATAGCTTTTTAAACTAATAGAATATAGAAACACTGTAAACATTAAAACACTTTTCTTCTGCCTGCTGTTTGTAAAATCTCTTTGGGAAGATCTTTTACAAAGACCAATTTTTTTTAATGTAATTTACCTACCTAATATTAAGTGTCCTAAGACATGTATGTAAACTTCCAAAACTGTTTTGTCTGTGTATTTAGAAAATACACAAGAATCTTTATCAAACCTAAAAATATAAACTTGTGAGCACTAAAAAAAAAAAAAAAAAAAGTTCAAGAAGAGAAGAGTGTAAAAAATAAAGATAATATGAAACAAAGAATTAGAAGAAACAGTATCAAAACTCTAGATCATTTTCTGTGGAGAAATGTGAGAATTGCTGTTGAACCTGAAATTATCTTAGTTAATAGTCTAATTTACTAGATACAAGTATATAAGAAATTTGGAATGTCTTTACCACTCATAAAATTTTTAAAAACGTGATGTCAAAAAACATGCTGAGTGTGGTCCATTAACTGTGACAAATATAGTAATATGAGATGTTGATAGGAGGAATGCAGTGAGGTTTGTGTGGGAACTCTTTATATTACTACCTCACCATTTTTGTTTTGAAAATTAAAAACTTCTGTAATAAAACATTAAATAGGAAACCACACTCAGAAGAATATTTTTATAGATGGAAAGAAACATTCTAACAAGGGAAATTCAGTGAGGATTACATCTGATAGATGTAGATT